AAACGGGCGCCGGTGCGATGCCCCGGGTGGGGCTACCGCTGCTACATATGTATATCTTTAACCTGCAGCCCATCGGTTTGATTACAGTTGGGTGAGTTCCACCAAAAGGAGTGTGAGTCTAAACATCAAAGAATACTGGGCAAGCTGGGTGCCCCATTGATTCAGTGATACTTTGAGGTTCTGCATGCTACAATGCCAATGCCAAGCAGCCCAAATCCTACAAAAAAAAACGGAGCATCCATCAAATGCCCAGAACTACCAAACACTGGGTGAATCATGGCTTGGCCACACTTTGATCATGGTTTTGTTCTTTGGGCAGGTTTGCCCAGCTTATCTTCTGTTGGTAGAGGGCAGAACGCATCTCAAAACATGGTGGAACCATCACGGAGAGGCTGGTGGTGATGTAATTACATTGTATGCCCTCCGACGGAGCCTGTTGTTTACGAGAGTTGCCAAGCGGAAGCACCCTTCCACAAGGGGGGCCTTTGTCAAGTGCTGATTTTGCAAGCCGCCATCTTGCCCTAAGGCTTGGTACAGTTGAACGCACATGAGGGATTGTCAGTGACTACAAACCACATCCGCCAACATATGTTCGTTGGTTGTGAAAAGACCTTACCATGGATCCCTGAGAACTGTTTTGATATGTTTTGAATTATTTTGATCAAGGAGTCCCAGTGTGAAGGAGCAAGGTAATATTGACTTTACCCGACTTTAACCCACACATCACCAAACGTGCAGCTTGGATTTGTTCAAGAAACTTGGAAGAATAGATTCTCTTTGTCTATGTAGATATTGAAGAAGGTGACTCGCCAAGAAACACATCAGGTCTTTGGAACCACTGCAGGTTGCCTTCTGCCCAAGATCTGTGGGGCCACGTGTCTTGCACTGTCCACCTATCACCATGCTACACTTTAGACGACACACACACAACGATCCTGCGCATGCCAAAAACTGCCGTGTTTTTGCGCATCCACGAATTCAATTCGTGATACTGTCAAGCATGAGTTTCTGTACATCGCTCGGTAGAAACCACCAGGCAGCAGGCGCGAGGAAACTGCTCTTCGATGAAAACATGGAGATGGACAGCAAACAACTGAGAGTTTCCAAGAAAAGACCACAAACAGTTTTGGCTCTTGCTAAACATACTGCTTGGGACAGCGGAGACTCGTGTACACTTGTGTCCACACTCGCCGGGGTGGAGCAACACACGTGGACATGACATGGAGGCTCCCCAGCCACTTTTGCACATTGCGTAGCTTGGCAGTCACTGCCATGCACTCCTATGGCTGTGCCGCGCTACTTCTTGCTATCAATGTTTTGAATGTGTTGTGCTTTGTGCTTGGGTTTCATGTGCTCTTGCTCGCTCAACATACCGCTTGGGACAGCGGAGGCTCGAGAACACAACCAACACAAACCTGGAATTGGGTCAAAAGGTACGGTTCCCCACACCCACTCCACTCCTTGGGCATGGATACCTAGTATGAGTACGACCGGACCGGATCGAAACCACAAACGTTTGGTCCAGGCCTTGGGACCCAAGAAGCTCACGCTGCCCTCTGCGTGGGTATTGATCACGTCGCTGGTGCCATGCTCCACAGAGCTCATAGACCAACGTCCTGTGTTCTCCTGTGAGGATGGAAGTTGCCGGTGCCGGTGGGTTGAAGGGATGGAAGTAGCGTCCGATCGCTCCATTCGTAGCGATGCCAGGAGCCCCTAGTAGCTTCTTGTTACTACTAGTAAGGCACTTGTTACTAGAAGCGATGCACTTGTTCCTAGTAGCGTCCTTGCTCCTAGTAGCGATGCCCTTTGCTCCTAGTAGCTTCTTGCTCCTAGTAAGGCCAGGAGCCCCTAGTAGCGTCCTTGCTTAAGCTTAAAAACGGATACAGCAAGAATCTCTGTTCATACTCACCTCAGGGGGAAACCACTCCCGCAGTGTCAATTTTACAGTAAGTGTTCACGACTTGAACTGCATGCTCCACATGCAAGTTCCTTTCTTGACATTTTATCCCAGTACATCCTGAACCAAGACCACCGCACTAGATACACAATGTTCCTATGCTATACATTGATGTGCCTACCTTGATTAGAAGTGTCTTTGCAACCACTGCTTGCTATGCTTTCGTGCCTTTTTGGCTTGGTGGTGGATCCAGTCTGCAAGGCATTGCCGGCTGCATCAGAAACTACAACCCCAGCAGGGACTGCAAGAAGCGATCAAGAATACATGTTGGTGCAGCGGTCTTATATTTCAGTCACACACACACATATGCACACGTCCTGAATCTGCAAGTAGAGGTCCACTCCAGGATTGAGCTCCGGATTGACCTGCCAAGTCTTGGACTCACGTTGAGTCATGAAGAGCCCAGGGAACGCAGCTTCAAAGGTTTGAAAGGAAAAGCGTCATGCATCCAATATGGAAGGGTTGTGAATTCTGGTCTTTGGATCTCATAACGACACACAACTACACCATACTATGTTTGCAGTTGTTGGTCAATCTGCCCACATGGCTCTGAAGACATGATAGCCACTTTTGATTCTTGAAATCTTGCTCCAAGACACCTTTGTAAGACTCTCAACTCCTTTTGCCCATCCCAGGGGCCGCCCAAAGCCCCAGGCAGAAAAATAGACAGTCACGTACAGTAGCTGCTGGTGGGTCATCTCACTCTAGTTTCTGTGCAGAAGCAAATCATCCGAGCGTCCAGCACTCATCGTTTCTGTGAGCCTTTCGGTGGGGAATGCCAAGACAAATGAGCACTCATCTTTTTCAATTCTTTTTCGGATCTGATCTGCAGATTGAGCAGAGCTGGATCTTCAAGTCTTGCATAATCATCCACTTCTTGTCATTGGCTCGTGACCCACTATTGGAAGCTGATGAATTCAGCCTCCCTTCTTGTTCTTCGCATCTCTGTCGCCCTTCCTGGTCTGGCCCAAGCTTGAAAACCATCAAAACGCTTTCCCAAACTCCCAAGGGAGGCACCTTGTCATCATTGGAAGGCCGCAAAACTAGCGGATTTTGGAAGCCTGAGCTGCTCAGGGATTTTGTGTTTGCAGTCGTGCTCGCAGCACGGGCATTCAGGACTCATGGGGGATGCGACGACCATCGGCCTGCTTGGTGCTGGGACTCCTGCAGTCGGACCGCCTGGGAGTTGAACTTAGACATCCACCAAACTGAACTGATTGAAGCTACTAAGGGCATTGCTACTAGGAGCAAGGACGCTACTGGGGGCTCCTGGCCAGGGCAACCCTCTGCAAAAACCGTGACTGTTTCTGCTGCAGGATGCGATCTGAACAGTATTGGGATAGATTTAAATTTAGGCACTCCAACTGTCCAATCCTGAAACATGCGGTCTATTATATAATCTACAAAGCCATGTATCAAGTCAATCAACCAGCAAAGCCGACCGAAACCACTTGAGTTTCCCCTTCTGTTACTGATTGTTTCACAAGGGATTCTGTGCGGACATGGTATTCCCTATTTCCACAGGTGTCCTTCTCCCCATACAAGAAAGCTCTCGCTCTTCTGGTGGGTTCATGGGAGAGTACCTTTTACATCCTTTTACTATATATAATTGAGTATTTGTACAAAAGATGGCACCACATCCAGTGGCCAACCACTGCCAACTAAATCGCTCCATCGCTTCTGAGTCAAGTCGAAGTGATCCCGGCACCCAGGAGTCCATTGGTTTGTGACGAGTGTCGCAAAAAGCAGAAAAAAGAGTTCAAAAAGGTGATGATTAAAGTGGATATCCATAACACAGCCCTGCGACGAGCATGGTGTCCAGTGTATTATGGGGCCATCACCTGCCAGGCGAAGGTCTCAAAGATCTTCTTGCTATTTGACAACTGCATCTAAAGCACCGATATTCTCCAGGGCAAACTTCTTCCCAGCCATGTCCAACCGGAAGGCGGAGGTGGCCTGAGTGGGCAAGCTGGAATCCAGCTGGAAGGGGCGTGGAACATGCAGAACGTAAGTTCAAGTTGAAATACTGGAAAGCCTGACGGTCCTAGAGCAGTGATGAAAGGGATGAAGAGCTCAAGTGAGGCCTTCTGTCCTTCAAAATCGAATCCTCTCCGAATTTGCTCCTTGAGTCCTTGAGCAAAAACAGGAAACACGCGAGGCAGTCCGGGAACCCCCCCTTACTAAATCAGGCGGCAATCACCATCTCGATGTAAGTCGCACCTGTCACAGTCGAATCTGAATCGAGGGAAGCCAATTACCAATGTGGGAGCCTCCTCCGCACAAACTATCTGGTTCCTTGGCCAGCTGGACCAAAATGATTTCGCACATGTGAGCAGCTACATGGATCATGGCAATGGCCTCCAAAGGCAATTCTAAGATGTTCGGAGCGTGTCTTCCCCCAGACTCGAAGGTATACAGTAAAACTCTTTCGTGCCCCATTTCCAGCCCACATGTAATCTTAGGGTCGTCAAGAATTGACAACTTTTGAGCCAAATTCTCAGGGTTCCACTGGCATCAAACGTGTGATCATCACTTGAGATGAGAAGGCTTGTGATCATTAGTCTTTTGGGGGTCCATGTCTGTGTGTGATAAAAGGATATCTTTCATGAACAGTACCACCGCAAATTATTGCATGTATCCAAAACGAGCTCCTATGAGCGACGCACCAACAAATCGATGTCGGCGCAGGTGCCCTTCGCTGCCTGGCACCACAATCTCGCCATAGATGATGTGATGCGAGAGCAGCTGGAGCACCTTTCCCTTGATGGGAGCAGCAAAGACCATGACACCACCATCGCCTGACAACGAGAGTCTTCGGTTTCGACAAAAGAAAGTGGGAGCAACACCTCAAACGGATTGATCAGTGGATATCAGTGGCTACACGGCTACACGTCAATCTGTGAAGAGATGTGGCGCCTATTGAATAGCTTGTTGTGTGATAGTGATACTCCGCCTTTTTTCGCTTGGTGAAACGCCAAGGAAGAAAGGCTGATCTCAACCTGACATGACACGTCAAGGCTCTACGTCTCACCCAAAGTATTTGACCAACTCGAGGTGAAAACTCGAGGTGAACAAATAACAGATGCGTCTTAGAAATTCAAAAAACTCGCCATGCCTTATGCACACCTTGCTATCCTGCAAACGAGGACTCATTTTATCGCACTTGTTCATGAAGCCTATCAGTTTCCTACCGGCGCAAATCACCTGGAGCTGTTGTTGCGGGAACTCCTTAACATCATCAAGAACGCGTTACAGTATAGTTTCCTCATGCTTTTTCCGAAGAAACACGTCAACAATGTAGCCATTTCAACTTAGTTTAGATCCTTGCAAAAAGTGAGCTGCCAAGTCGTCGTCCGCACCTCGCCGCGGTTGCACCGACAAGGGATGCTTTGTCTGCGACCAACCAAAGCGTTGTCGGTTGAAAACGATCTTCTCCTCCGGTGAAGGGGATGGGCACAGCCGCCATGTTCCCAAGCTTTTCATTTCGGGGGACAAGGAAGCTGCATGGTTCAGGCGATTGTCAACTTTCTGCCATCTGAAGCTCCAAGAGATGCATAAAGTTGGTCCCTTCAGCATCTCCTGCGCTGGAGCTGTCGCGACTGCCTCGGTGTCTGCAGCGCGGCCACTGACGTGGGTGTTGGTGCCGCCGAAGCCGAAAGAGGAGAGGCCGAAGGACTTCAAGGTCTCCTGGTCTAGTGGCTCTCTAAAAGAAGGGGTGACAAGCACAAAGATCTGAACTTCAGAGTCCACAGCAAAGATTTTAACAATGAGCGCGCAATAGGCAGCAAATGCCACCAGTGACAAGTGAACAGCCCATCAATCTCGCAAGTGCAACTCGCAACTCCTGCGAGAGCTGAACCATGGACTCTGTTGGGAAGACCATGTCCACCTCCTCAGAGGGACGTCTGCGTCAGTGAACCCCCCTTGTCAACCCCTGTAGATCACGTCCCAACAAATCAACACAACATGGTCCTGGTCTTGACCAGGGAATGTTGAACTGAACTACATAACAACCTAGCTACCAAATTTTTGAGGACTTTCCGCTTCGTAACATGAGCACCTGCAAGCAGCAACCAAAACAAAGGTATCTGAAATCTAAGATCTACTAGGTAGACTCCAAGAATTAGAATGTCTAGTAAGGAAGCAAACAAAGAACATGCCAAGCATTCCTAGCTTGTTCTGTTGCACTACTGGGCTTGCCAGTGGTGAAACCTGAACTTTGTCTGGTCTATGAACAAAAGAAAGCCACTGAAACCATTGGAACAGGTTCTAGCTTAGATGGGTTGCAAGCTATGCAATGGAAATTGCCAGGCTGAACTAGATGCATATTTCACTACGTTTCCCTTGGTCTCCCTCCACAAATCAATCTGTTAGAAATGACCTATGAAGCTCCGAAGAGCAGCTAAATCACATCATCGGGCGAGTGTCTTCCACGTCAATGTGTGGATTCAACTTGGCCAAATGCAAGTTTGGAGGCACTTGATGATGCTGCATTGCAGTGATCGCCTGGCTCCAAGAATCTTTTTACACCATGGATCCACGCAGTCACGAAGTTTAGCTTGCACAAAGAACTAGATAGGGCCAGGAGCACAATCCAACTTATTGTGCACGGCCTCAGCACAACCTATAAACAGAATTACGTTCAGTCAGCGCACAACTCCAAGGGGTCCTCAACTCAAAATTGAGGTCTCAAGATCCGGCAGGGTTTTGCAGCTTTGAAGTTGTGTATTGTATGTATTTTTGTATATTGATGCCAGATTGGTCACATCAAAAGAAACACAACCATGCAGTACTCAGTACTCAGTACCCCTAGGCTCTTGAAACCAGCTACAGTTTTCTGCCTCAAACTTCCCCGGGCCCGTGACGGTCTTGTTGAAAAGTGGCCTTCAGCAGCCCTGCGATGCCCGCAGCACCCTCGAGGTGACTGACATTGGTCTTCACAGCGCCCACGTAGAGCGAGGAACTCCGCTGAACACCAAAGGTGCTGCACAAGGCGCCCACCTGACAGGTGCTGATTACTGATGGATGACTGAGTAGACTCAGTGACCAGGGTGTTGTATCAAACGGAGACTCTTGAGGGCACATATTGTGAATCTTGTTTTGAAGTTGGTCACTTGTCCTGCTGCAAGCTGTCTCTTGTGGTCTCAGAAGAAAGGAAACGATGTCCAATACATCTACTGATATCTACTGTATTCACATTCACATTGTGGCAGCAGGGTGTGCTTCTTCTTTCTATTTGAGGATTGCTGGCCAGTAGTAGGAGCACCGCTTGGCATTCGGCCACATCTCCCTCCCATTTGCCCCTGGAGGACCAGGTTCTCAATACCGAGATCTTTATGTTCACCCCCATTAGTTTTTTGGAGTGAGGGCAACACGGCACATTTAACTACAGACTTGAACAAGTCCCATCTGATGAACGTCCCTTTACTCGCCAATCCTAGATTCCAAGATCAATGATGTCCACAATAACTGTGCGTCCAGGGGTTCCAGCCCAATTTCAAGCCGACCTCTCCGTGAACCAATCAGATCAAAGGTCTCCGATTCAGAGACCAGGGCCAAAACAATTCCAGACCACGACCTGGACCCGTGGATCTGATCACTGGTTGATGGGGTGATTTGGAGTTTTACAGCCGAGTTGTTTTGGAACACCTTGCAGATCCTTGCAGGCAAAAGAAGCTACTAGGGGCTCCTGGCATCGCTACTAGGAGCAAGGACGCTACTAGGGGCTCCTGGCCGTACTACTAGGAGCATGTTTACTAGTAACAAGAAGCTACTTGCAGGCATGCCACCTCGATGGGATCGCCCAAGCCAGTGCCCGTGCCGTGAGTCTCAATGAAGTCGGCTGTGCCTCCGGGAGGGCTTTGCAGTGACGTCCAGGTGAGGAAAAGCAGTTCATTCAATTGGAAACTCTTGAAATCTTATAATTAACTTGGATCCTCCCCGTATAGATAATGAACAAAACATAGATTCTGACAAAATTATTGAGGAACGCCTAGATTAGATGGGGCGCTCAATATTCCGCTTCTAGCCATCAGGTCTCAGGGGCTTTCTTCACTTGTTCTTTTTGGAGATCGGCCAACCATAAGTCCTTAGTAAGACACATCAGACACATCTAGGAATCGGTATACAGTAGATGGTGGAGATTGAGTTTCGACCAAGTACCTAGAAGTTAGCAACTAGAAGCCGGGTGGGCCATTTTGGGGGAATCAAAGAGGGTTTCTGTGGAACCGCTCGGACCACTGATAAGTAACAGTAAATGGATATGGTCCAGGTGATACGGTACATATTCAATATGCACGTATACAGTATATATGCTGCCTGCATCCCCTTGAGTCCTTTCCTCAAAGCCGATTATTGCCGATTGTCCCCAAACAAATACAAAATCGGGGATGGATGGTTCATCCCTCACCCTTCTGCATCCTCTTGGCATCATCCCCGACCATGCTCTCGCACCTGGTGTTTCGCCAGCCTCTTGCCAGGCTGTCCAAATGACCTCCTGCTGTGCCGGGCCATTGGGTGCTGTCAAAGACGAGCTCCTTCCGTCCTGCCGCGCACGGTGCACGTGCGTGCCTATCTGGGTGAAGGGAGACAGATCTCTCCCTGTCGGATATTGGATAGAAATGCTCCAATACCAATTTGGACTTCTAAGGGATGATTCATGAATACTGATGTTCATGTAAGTTAGGTGTCGGCAAAAATGCGGTGAGGAACATGATACTGTGACTATAGTTCTGAAGCGCCATGATTGGAGGATACTTTGGACAGGGGGAACGGAAGCCAATCTCTGAGCGCCACTGTCATACCCTCGTCTCAAATGTGGAGATTCCTGACAGCGAGGAGTTGAACTCCTCTGACCAAAAGTCTAAGGTGGAGTGCTCGGGGATGAAATTAATCTGGGTGTCTGTGATCCCTTCACAACACCAGGAATACCAGGAATACTTTACATACTGCCACAGGCCCAGGGGGCCTCAGGGGTTTCTTTCACAGAAGGCCAAACTTCTCAGAACTGCAGAGGAAAGAGGTAGGAGGAAGAAGGAACAGGAGGCCAAGGCATGAACAACAAATTCAAAAGGATTCTCCACGAGTCACCCCTATATTGTCCACCTGACAGGTAGCGCACTAGCGGTATGTCAGAACTCGTATTGACTGGAACAAGTCCTGGTTTGCAGCAGTGCCGCTGATAGCACACAGGCCATGCTCAGCCAGCTCCGACAAACGGCGGATGAGGATGGTGCCAGCGCCTAGGAGTGCAAAGAATTCTGTCTTGGTTCAACTTAGTTCTGTGGGCGTTCATTTTTGGAAAGCCGATGGTTGTCGCAAACCTCTGCGAAGTCCCAACAAAAAGCTCATGGAAAAACGATCCATGGCAAGGTGCTGTTTAGCTCAATGTGAAGAGATCCTCTTGTATAAATTGAAGAACAAAGGAAGCTGAAGAACAATGCTCAACCTCTGCTTCCGGGTCTGAATGCATGGTCTCAAACAGAATCAAGGCATTATATAATTAGACATTGAGTCATCCAATTTCCAACCAAAAACAAACTTCTTGCATACTTCTTGCAACTTCTTGCTTTTGCCTCAGCCCCGGTGCTTCGAAAGTGTTTCTTCCACCCGTCTGTTTCTTCCACATGTCTCCTCTTTGCCGCCTCAACTCATCCGCCAAAAACACTCGCCTTCGCCTCGAGAGTAGCCGTCTGCCGAGGCATCGAAGGTCTTACAACGACCGCCCTCCGAGAGCATCTTCGCCTGCGTGGAGTAGTTGGGGAGGGAGATGATCAGAGAAGAATGGGAGGGAGGGATGCTAATGGACGTGAATGGATGTGAATGCAAATTATGTCTGTGGGTTTGAGCATGAATATACCAAGAGAGTTTAAGAGATCTGAAATGGGACCCAAGAATGGAGATGATGTGGGATAGGCTTTTGAGTTGGGTTGTTCAACCTTTGTACTGTAGGTGGGATGGAGATGTTCGGTTTGGATGCATCAAAACATCGTCCGGTGGCTGAAAGGAACACAAATGGTTTGCGTGGTTTGTCGTGGAACAAATAATGGCCTCTGTGTGGGCGGTGATTGGGTATGGACGGATGCAAAAGAGGGAACCACCCTACAGTGTTGCTTTATTCTGCTTGGTATCTCCAAAAGTGCACATCAAGGGCCCAAAACTCTGACTCAAGCGCCTCTCCCCCTATCCATCTAATCCATTTCGTTTTCATGTTCCAATATAGTTCTATCCTCACTACTAGAATCCTGCAACTTGATCAAACGCTAGGCTGACTAAAGTCAATCCGCTTGTGAAGATCCCCTATTTGCAGCAACCTCACCCTACATGTTTAGGTGTCATTGAATGGAGAAGTCTCACAACATCTCCACCCAGTTTTGACAGTCAGAAGCCTGGCAGCAAGCCACGAAGGGCCCAGGCAACCTTGGCGGACATGGGTTGCACTGATGAGGGGGTTGAGTCAAAACAAATTTCACAAAATCAACCCCTCCAGATCGGTGGACAATGCCAGGGTTGCCCTCCATTTTATTTATATAGGCATGAAGCGGTTTCCCAGTTTGGTGTGGATCAAGAAATATGGACTATGAGTGGCCAGCATATGCCACCACTACATGCTGTCCAGACACTTGGGAGTAGGCGTGCTGGCGCCCGGCGACTTGACAGGTGGGTCACTGGTCTCCAAACCAAGACTCAGACGTGTTGTTGCGACTAATGTTGTTCACGGTGGGGCTCCTGCTGCACCATTTGCGATGAGCAACACCAGAATTATACATTTGCAGTGCTTTTGGTGCTGCCAGTGTTTTTCAGCAGTGATTTGTCAACATGTATTGTTCCGTGCAGATTGGAGTGGACGTGACCCCAAGCATGTGGTCCGAGGGAATTCCGAAGATCCAGCATGCTATGTATGTAACACGCTTGTCATCGATGGCCCCCTGTTTTCACCCAACATAGACATGCTCAATGACTTCCCCCGAAAGCCCGCCCAAAACTGAGAGAATCTGAGACTGGATCCAACAGCCTCCAGTGAAATGGTAACCTACCAGGTTGGTCAAAATAGTCTAGACCTGCTGACTGGTAGGACCAAGTGGCAGATTCATGTTGACACCTGCTGACACAGAGGCGCTGCAGCGGTTACGACCAATGTTGGCACAGGCAGTGTCAAGCGCCACCAGGGAGGAGGAACAAGCCGTATCGGAGGTGACACCTCAAATGCTTCAGCTGGGTATACTCCCAGAACGGGCTTGAACATGTACACACAACTTTGGCAAATGAAAATAGCCTTTCACCTCGATGCCAGTGATGTATAGTCAAACCTGTTCCTCTACAAACCATGAAAGGCTCTACAGCTGTATGGTTTGCCCCATAGCCAAGCAGCTTACCCTGACAGTGTAGGAGAAGGCTTCAAGTAGAGAACACAGTTTTAAGTTTTAGATAGTTTTAGATTCCCACCAACGGGCTCCAACTACAGAAGGGGACTGACCCTCAAAACGCCGCTAAGTACTTTTTCAGGAGGTACAGTAGTTGGAGCAACAGGCAGGATACCGGGAGAACATAAGCATGGACTGGTACAGCTTCGCCGAGTTCTTGGTTGGCTGATGTGGCTAATCATTGCCGACACTGGACGGACTAGTATGATCTCCCTCACATGCGGAATGTGTCAAAAAATGTCAAAGTATATAATCGTTATGCGTGCAGCCCATCATGTGAGCTTGTCACGGGTGGGTTGGTTTAGAGTCCCATGGTTGGACAAGGACAATCCGAATCTGGTCCTGCGGGCTGTTTGTTCGGTTTTGTTTGTACCGTATGTTAGTTCGTCTTTGTATGGGGAGAACGGGCTCCATGCCGGTTTCGGTTCAGGGGGCGTTGAGTCTCAAAAGGTGACTCTTCCCTTGGCGACTTTCCATGTCTGGGTCCGAGTTATATATCCCCGTTGGGGCTGATCCGAAGGTGGGCTCGCCTACTTGGTAGTCACAACCGAGGCATATGATGAAAAGGAACACAGAGGGAGTACATTGGAGAATGTGTGAGGAGTAGGGAAAGACACTTGGCTGCGCACTTGAATCAGATATTCCAGGGAATGCCAAAAGTGCAGCGACGGTAATTTTGCAGAAAGTTTTGCACATAGGTCACGGTTTCACAAGCGGACAAAGTGGAGAAAGCATAACAGTGTCAAACAGACAAGGTCACAAAGGGATGCTTAGAGGCTCAAGCAATGATGCCGTCTCGATAATTGCTTACTCCGAAAACTAGAGGGTGGGGGAGCAGCGTGTGCTCAGTTGGATCCGGTTATTCGCACTACTTCCTTTCAAAAGTTTTTGGATGTTTCAGGGGCAGAGACACCCAGGGAAATGACGGCCATGCTGCAATGTCTTCCATGCTACACGCTCGTCTGGGGTGATCACTCGGGCTCATCGTGTAACGGTGGTTGATACTTTTCCCTGTTTACTGTTGTTTTCATGATTGTACAGAGTGAGAGTGGCTGCATAAGTCTGTCCCTCGGGTGAGAGTATTGTTTGGTGAAGGGATGGCCGGCGCGCCAAAGGAACCCGCTTGGAATTGGCTGAGATGGCATTGCCGTCGGTTACCACCACCGCGACGATCATTATACAATTGTTACATGTGTGCGAGACAGCTTTTGCAATTGCACGGTTGTTCCAATGCACGTTCGCTCTAAGGGGCTAAATGTTGGGGGCTATAAGACGGAGGCAAACAGGGTCTGCTCCAAGCCACAAATTGACAAGGGGCTGTTGGGTCGGCCCTACAACCACAAACACCTACGAATGTTTAAAGAGGATGATTAAAGAGGATCAAAGTTTACTTGGACTTATTGGATCAGGTCAACACAATAGAAGTAAGTAAGGAACAAATCCAGCTTCAGCTGGTGTTGTGGGGATGCTACGGCCCTTTTTTCTTCGGCATCACAGCTGCCAAGCCACTGGGGCCACGGAAGCCAAAGACATAGGCCAAGCGGTTAGAGGAGATGGACATCGAACCGCCCGTGCCGCTGAAGGGATTCATCTTCTCAGTCTCCAAATTCTTGAAGTGACCCCAATCCTGGGAACGCCCGCAGAACACTTCCCCCCTGGCAGCGAAAAGCGCACCTCTCAATGCATTGCCGGCGGGCCGGATTATGGTTGAACCGCGCAAAAGACATGGAGTACCCGGTGGGTTCCTTGAGGTTAATTGATAGCAAATGGATTTATCTCATGTACTAACTTTGGAGTGACAAAGCCCTGGTGTTGGGATTGACCGCTGCTTTTGCAACAAAAACTGAACTGAGCAGGGATGAACCTGCACAGTACCAACATTGGAAATCTACAAAACCTGGTACTGCTACTGGAAGACTATATATGTTTCTTCGTTTGAGAGAAAAGGAAAAACAAAAACAACACCGAATGCCGATGGTTTCGGATAATGAATATTCATCTGCTGGCCAAAGCCAAGTATCGTTGTTGCATTCACCCACGAAGCTGCCAATGTCTTTGTTGGTGAGAGGCGAGCTGTCCCCACCCACCGCCAACAAGCCCTTGGAAGCAGAGAAGGCCTCCTGAACGATCCTCGGCAGGTGACCAGGCGATTTTGCTGCAAATTTTGATGTGTTGCCGGTTGCCATCATTAGTGGCGTCCTTGCTCCTAGTAGCGATGCCAGGAGCCCCTAGTAGCTTCTTGCTCCTAGTAGTACGGCCAGGAGCTCCTAGTAGCGTCCTTGCCGGTTACCGTTCCACGTTGGGCTCAAAACATCGACCTCGAGATGAGCGGTGGAACCAAGTTGAAGTGAACGTATAATGTGTGGATATTTTGGATGACCTACAGCCTGTGAGTGAAGACTGGTGAAGACCTCCGATTTTGCATTACAGTATGTTTATATTTTGCATGGTCTTGGGTGACCCAGCTGGGCTGGTCCATTGAGCCTCACTGACAGGTGTTCCACTGCCTAGATGCTCCAGTAGGAGACGCTGCTGTGGATCCATACTGGCTGCCTGCTTGGGCGTCCACGTCAACGGAGCTGGTTGGGTGGTCCGGGTGATCTGGTCCATCTGTCACAAAGGTTGATCCAATTGGGAACACCGATCTCCTGAGTCTGAGACCTTCCCCCAAGTCCATCCATCAACCCTAAGCAAGTGCCGAGAACTTCTAGAACCCATCTGACCTTGTTTTGGATAGGAAACTGTCATATTCTGTGCGGCTGGTACTGGTACTCCAAAACACTCCAGCTTCTAGGTGGTTCTGAGATATCCCTGCTTTGTAACTCCTCCTTGGCTCCTGTTTGGGATTGTGGGATGCGATGCCCGCAGCTCCTGACAGTTCGTTCCAAAGCCACCAGTTACACATTGTAACCGTCCATATCACATGTCCCTCGGGCTGCCTCCGCTCCAGAGATACCAAACAGCATGGCATCAAAGCAGTCCGCGTTTTGAATGAAAGCAGCATGGCGCACGTACATGCGGCCCACCGCGTTGGGAGAGGGGTCGAAGTACTCATCCACGTCCCATCGGTCATAGGGGATCTCACTGACACCATCTGTCTTCTGCACCTTGCATTGCAAGACTTCCGTGCCCGAAGGGTGCAAGCCTAAATCCTGCTCCTAGGAAGGACTCGAACTGTGTGCATCCTGCCAACGTCCGTACCAGTGGGCGTGTGAGAGTTCCCACAAAAAGGGGATGACCACGCTTTCAACATTTAACTCATACAGCCAAATGTTTAGACCCTGGCACACTCTGGGAACCCCAGATGGATCCTGACGGAGTCTTCAGGATACCCAATTAATTTTGTTGTCCCATTTTACCTACATCTACTTAGGGGCCGCTTCAAAAACCAACTGGAGACGAACAAAGCCGAAACCTTGGTTACATCAATATATCATATCTGCCTGTTGTGGTATATCAAAGCGGCTGGATTCCACTGGAATAGTGTTATCGAGGGGTGAACGTCGTCGGATTCTTGTGGGGTGAATAAGCCAACCAACAAAATGTTGCCCATGTTGCATTCGCCCTGGGTTGTCTATGTTGTGGCACACCTATCTAGCCTTCGCTCCCTTGCCTTTGATTGATCCTCTCTCTTGAATGGGATCTTGAATGGGGTTTCATGTTCGTTCTTCTTTTCTTTCATGTTCAACACTAAACTAAACCGACCAAGCCACCAAAGCAGTCCAGAAAACGTCTGGATCATCGCCACCAGCAGGGAAACGGCAGGCGCTGGAGAGCACCGCCAATGGCCCTCGCTCCGCAGCCCCGACAAGCGGCGCGCGTGCCGGTGCAGCCGTGGGAGCAGCGGCGGCTGGAGCCAATTGGGCTGTGGCGTACTTGGCGATGGCCTGCGACATGGAAGAAGAATGGCTTGCATTTGGTGTGCTCTAGAGTGATAATCTGTCCAAGAGGATGTTGAATTTGCTACTACAGTAGATGTGTTGCATGGCCTGAAGGGTCTGGTCGTTTATGCTATACACTTTGTTCAATAAAAATACATTGGAAGTCGTGAGACCGTAGGCTACGTTGATTTCATCTTACACGTTTGAGGATACATAGTTCTGATCAAGAGAAATATATAGGAATACAACAGAAAGACTCCCCAGTTCACAGGGCATTTTCATACTATTGGCTTACCTGAGCATAGTAGTTACTATGGACCTTCCGACATCCAAGTGGTCAACAGCGAAAGCCCAGTAATCCTGAAATAGTTGGCTACAGTGCTTGCATGTCCGAGAGGTCAAATGTCTGATGAAACCATGTGAAACCCACCTCTCCACCCAGATGCTACCTTTCCGCCAGCGCCTGTGGGCTGGGATAGTCGAACATCAAGGTGTTCGGCAGCTTCAATCCAGGCAATTGCTTCGCCACCTGTCGTGTGGTCGCACCGCGCCAAACATTGGTCCAGTGGAAGGTGCGGCGCGACTCATGCGTATGTTTGTCGTCTCGAAGTGAGGTCAGTTCAGTGCCACGCTAGTAGTAACAAGTGCATCGCTAGTAGTAACTGATCCAACGGGCTTGAACAAATGCTTCTTTGGACGGTAAAGAGCATGCAGTATATGGAAAGCGACCATCTATTAAATTGGAATCCCTGCCTGGGAACCTGAAACAAATGACGGTCACGATATGTAATTAGGATCTTCAAGTCAGACCATTCTAAACAACTACTTTTGACATCCAAATCAGAACATCTGAGGAGTCCTTTAGCCAAAGACTGTCAATAGCTTGAGGTTCTTTAGTGACACCCAGCAACCGCTATATTTAAAGGGTTCATCATGGCTTAGTCAGAACCAGTGTCTACCCGCTCTGTTAGGGTAGTACAACCCTGATTTAAAGCAAAGATTAACTTCAAAAGAGTCAACACGGGAGTCCCTTGGGACTCTGTTCTTCGCAAAGCTTTACTAGCCAGCTCCTAAGGCTCCAAAACTAGACTCCTTGGAATTGGTCCCTCTTGCACAATATAAATTACTGTACTGGCAAATGCTCAAGAATGTCACTGGATGAGGCTTCTACTGTACTTCACGTCTCTGGCTCATGCACAAACCTCAATGTAGAGAGTATAGACCATTATTACAGTAGTCATAATAGACATATATTAAATAAGATAATTACTAAAGGTGATATCAGTGGTTCCCGCTGGCGTCTAAACAGCTCGTCTTCAGCTGCCCATTTTGTGGACGCACCGCTCCTGGTTCCGGAAGTCCACAGCCGACAAGGAATCAAGGCCACTCTCCATGAGCGGTGCGTCCTCCTCCAGTTGTTCGCCCAAAACCCCCTGAGCCACGTCCAAAACGATGGAGAGCAGCTTGCCTCAGTCCAATGATTGGAGGCAAATTGGAGATTCCAGGTGCACCACTCATTAAAATAGAAACGAGCTGTCAGTCTACATAATCTACACATCAATGTGCGTTTGACTCTGCGAGCGGGAAATGAAAAAACCGAAGCGCACGCAAGCGCCTCTTTCTTGAGCCAAACGTTCGAACGACGCGGAATGTTCATCGCGTTTCGTCCTTTCGAAAACATGGGATGTGTAAAGGCAGTCACATGCCCGCACTCCCCCAATGATGGCTTTCCATCATTCCTTGGGCATACAGCAGATTGCTCATGCCATTTTCTCAAAACTACCATCTGACTGCGAGTCTTCTTCTAGGCCCACAGGTGGCGTGACGGGTCTTTGACCCACTGTAGTTGAAATTCCCATCCACTCAGGCCAGGTGTCAGCCTCAGACGGATGCAGACCCTCAGAGCACAAAGAATGCCGCCAGGCCCTTTCCATCTCATCCATGTGGTTTTCTCCTCGAGCTTGATGCCCTTGGAGCCGCTCAATGTAGCCAACGCTTGGGACACCATCGGAGGAGGCAATGCCACGAGCAGTGATTGCAGATCCATCGTAGGCCACTGCAGGCCCCTTCCCTACGTTCTCTCCGACAGGGATTTCCGCACTCCTACCCCGTTCCAAGGCACGAGACCGAGTAGATGACGTGTTTCCATAGCCCCGCGCAGCCTGCTCATGGGTCCCCGGAGGAGGGTGCGGTCCCGGTGCAACTCCACAATCGGGATCAAGTTGAGCCCCTTCCATCGCTCCCACGAAGCGGACATAGAAGAAGGCATAGCCTATCCACTCATATACACCCTCAATGTCACAATTCCTCGATGCGGTCCAATCGTCCGTCAGCACTTGCCGCCGCCAGGCTTCTCGAGTTGATCCCCGATGGAATGCCACAGTCACTCTGGTAGGTGACATCCTCGAGATCTGGAAGGGAGTGCCCCGGTGTAGTGGGTGGAATGATCTCACCCTGCTTTTCTTGAGAACACGAACCCACCATTCACCAGCACCATCGCCTGCTCCCAGGCATTCCCATCGATCTGCGCCCGTAGGAGGCGTCGCGAACCTCCCCAAAACCCACGGCGTGTCTGTGCCCAATCCTCTATGGGCAGGAGGCGCCTTCATGGCGCAGAGCCGCAAAGTTGGATTCCATGGCTTCAAGGTCGATCCATCGGCCGGGGTGCCAAGGTGGCAAAAGTCGTCGGCTATCGAGCGAACGGCGGTCGAGACCTGACCTTGCCTACAAGGGCTGGGTTCATCTTCCCTCAGCCATCTTGAATCCTTCTTGACCTCCTCAACCCTACTTGGGGTGGGTTCATCTTCCCTCACCCATCTTGAATCCTTCTTGATCACCTCAGGCCTACTTGGGGTGGGTTCATCTTCCCTCACCCATCTTGACAGCTTCTTGATGTGGGATGCGTTAGACCTCTTATTCGACTGGCCTGTCGCCGTCGTGAATGCATTCACAGCCACTGTAGCCGCAGCTGCCAAACCCAAGAGCGATGCCAGCTTCACTGCTCCCCCCAAACCAGGCACCGCTGCTAGCAGGCCCAAGGATGCCATCGCGGCACAAGCTACCTTCCTTGCCCTCGACATACTCACCTCATTGGGGACAGGTGTTGCAGCAGCACGAAGACCAACCGAACGGCGGAAGGCATCCCACGATTGAGACTGTGTGATGGATTTGGTCAATAGGTCGGCGCACAATTCCGCGCCAGGCACATGCTCCACACTCCAGAGGTGGTGCTTGAGGCGTTCACGAAGAACATGACTTCTCAACCGTAGATGCCGGGTGCGCCACGGGCCTGAAGGTGCTTGAAGCAGCTGCAAGCCTGAGAGATTGTCTCCTCTCAGGACATACGAACCCTCACGGTCCAGGATGTTCTCCTGCAGAACGTTCACGACCGCTCCAACGCTTTCTCCCAGGGTGAGGCCATCAATGTAGCCAAGCAGCTCACTCTCTGTGGTGCTGAGAGTTGCAAATGCCTGAGCCTTTGACTCCCAAGCCACCAAACAGCCTGCCCACATAGCCATGATTCCCTGGTGACCCTTGCCACCAGTGGGAGCAAAGGATGAATCGGTCAACACCTCCAGCCGATTCAAATTGTGCACTCGTCCATACTGGTCACATTGGTCCGAACATGGACCATACTCCAGGGCAAAGTCCAGGGTTGATGCCACATAGCCCAACACATGGTCAGCAAGGCTCAATACCCCCTTTGGAGACTTTGTCACACGCGCTGTCAGGTACGACACGGCGAAGCTCAAGTCCGGCCTCGTCCTAGTAGAGAGCCATAACAGTTCTCCGATCACAGTTTGACAGCGCTTCACATCCTCCGGGTTGATGGTCTCTTCAATGTCCATCTCAATCACCTTCGGAAGTGGAGAGCTCCTCAACGGGACATCCGAATGGCGAGCGACTATCTCCCGAGCATAGTCAGGCTGGCCAATGAGCAAGCTGCTGCCGTCCCACTTCATCTCCACTCCACAAAACTTTCGCCATTCCGAATCCACCACCCAGGTAGGAGGAGCACACTTCCAGGTAGCCGCCAGCTTGGACAAAAACGCTTGTGCCACCAGCCGATCACCCATCACGATGAAGTCATCCACATAGGATAAGGCGAATCCCACCGCCTTGCCCTCCTCCATGACATTCACATAGTCCATCTCCTCACCATCAGCAGACATCAACCTCCAGACATTAGGCTCCGGAGTGGCATGGATCCAATAATGCCTGCCGCCCTCCCACCACCTCATTCCTCGAAGCACTTCGTCCCGATAGGACTGCCAGTCAGCCGGGGAACTGTCCAAACCATAAACAGCAGCTTCCACAATCCACCGGGTGTCCTTGGAAAGGATTCCTGCTTCAGTCAGTCAGGATCGATGGGGGCTTGGTGACCATGAGGCGCGAGGACTTTCTTGGTGCCAGGAGGAAAGCCGAGGATACGTCAGTGATGCCTATTGACCACTGCTCCTGAGCTGCCTTGCGGAGTGCACACCTCAATGAACTTCCATCAATGCCACTTGCATACAGCTCAAACGACTTTCCAGGCGGCTTGCCTCCACTATCGCCACCACCAGCATCATTTTCACAGGAATGAGCTTGGAGACGAGCTGAGGTGTCTTCAACAAGGTTTCCACATAGAACTATGCGAGATCGCTTCTTTCCATCCGGGGCCTTCACCGTAGGAACCAATTTCGAGGGAACCACCAGCATCTCATTGTAGCCCGGCTCCTCCTTAAGGTCTTGAACCTGAATGGGCCTCACTGCCCTGGTGGTCTTCTCAAGGGAGTTCACCTCATACTCAAGCGACGGGATCCAATCTTTCAGTTCTCGTCGAACTTGTGCAAGTGGGACAGTGTACGTCTGAAGAACAGCATGCACCCCCAGCCGATCATCCGAACCCTCCTTCTCCTCTAAGTGCTGTCCAGCGGTCATCGATGCCAACTGGTGAGTCACAGCACAATCTCGAATCTCCGTGAGGTCCTCCTCCAAGGCCTGGACATTCTTTTCCAAGTAGTCCATCATAGCTCCCTGCAGCTGACCCTCCACGTCGCCAACCGCCACCTCCTTCAACATGTCACACCAGAGCTGTTTCCAGCCCCAATGCTCTTCTTCCAACCTTTGAGTCAACTTCAGGGCCTTCTGCATGTCATACTCCACGGTCCCATCGATTGATGTTTCACCAGGTTCATCCATTGGAGTCTCACAGAATTCGCATTGTCGAGGGAGTTCAAGGCGTTTGAACGACAGATGCGCCATTTGCAGTCCACACTCCTTGCAAACCAATGCCCTTCCTCCACCAGTGATCTTCACACGCGCCCCTAGTGGCATAGAAAGCTGCAAAGACTCCCCCCCCAGTCTGACCTTGGTGTAGGACTGGCTCTCCAACTGGGTTGCACCGGACGGTGCATAGTCCAGGATCATCAGAAAGCCGCGGTGGGGGAAGTTGAGGAAGCATCGGTTCCATTGGCTGCTTACCCACCATTCGTTTTTGAGGTCGTTCTGGTTCCTGGACAGCTTGTAGTTCCAGAACAGCCCGTTCAGCAGCTGGATCAGTCTGGACCGCAACCCGAGCATGTTGCACATGGCCGCTGTCAAACAGCACATAGCCCTGAGACATAAATGGCGAGGGACCCATCAAAGTCATAGTTCGAAAGGGCGGTGTCAAAGGTCCAAACCCTGCTCTATGCCAGCGCTTGGTCTTCACTGTCACCCTCCCCCCAATCGGCAGCAGCGGGGCACTTGGAACACCAAGATTGGCACATTGGCGCCTCAGCCTCTCCTCTCCAACATAGCGCGCAATGCCCGGCCACCACCTTTCTTCCAGGCCACTTTCCTTAATGAGCAACCTGAGTCTTCTTTTCACCTGGTGGACCTCCGCCTCGATTCGGCCATTTGAAGGTCCTTCATCTCCTCCTGTCATAGTTTGGTACATTCCAAAGCGTCGGCAGAATGCTTGGAAACTCCTGGACAAGAAGGCACACTCTCTATCTGTGTGAACTCTAAGCATCTTCATGCCCATCGCCTTGAAGCGGCAGTATATGCGGGTTGCAACCTTGGTGACATCAACCTGCGACCGGCTCTCAAGCGGCTCCACCACTGTGACATTCTGGACGCCAATTGGTGCGCTCAGGTCTCTGATGTGCTCCTTCCAGGCTGTGTTGAGGTTCTCCACCTGCTCATCCGACACCTCCACCTGCTCCGGATCATCCCCTTCTGCCGCACCTTCTCCATCTCCAATGGGAAGCAGTTCGCCCTCCTCCCCATCATCCAATTCCTCCATCTCCTTGAATTCTTCATGTTCTCGAGGCAATCGTGGAATGGCCACAGTCGCCACCATCATGTACTTGGCCTTCAAACCGAGGCCCAAATCATCTCCAACTGGCATTGGCCCCACGATGTCATACGATAAGCAGTGAGCTGCCCTGTCACCCATAGTGCGTCGATGAGGAACATCAGAGCCCATCATCTCCATGCATCGGCGACAGTCCCTGCGAAATGGCTGATGTTGGTTCCTCACATGAACCTTCCATCCTTCCATGTCTAAGCGGCACACTGCTGCTTTGCGATCTTGTGGACCACCTTCTTGAGCATCCAGTCGCTGCACAAACCTCTTCAGGCTCTCTTGAATAGCAGCTACCAGCCCGGGGGCCCATGCCGACCATTCTCTGGATTGGACGAGTCGTCCTTGGAGTGAACCTGCAACTTCCTGCCCAGTGCCATCCCCCGAAATGCCTTGAAGTTCGAGCATATCCGGCAAGTTGGCCACCATCAAGGTTGTAGGCTTCCGCTTGATATGACCAATCGGTCCTTGATCCAGGGTGACAAAGCTGGCTTTCATGAGTTGTGCTAAATCATTCACCTCACGGAAGTTCCAGTACGATGCCATGTCCTGCTCCAGTGCCTCCTGCTGCATGTAGGAGACCGGGTCACGAGGTGATTCCATCAGAAATGCCGGCGGCACTCTGCAGGGATTCTCTGCCTTTCCAACGAGGTTCATCGCCTCGCTTGCCATGATCCAGAGTCCTGCTTGTTTCAACAACAGTGCCAGGTCACCGACAACAAGGTCCTTCTCCACAGATGAAAGGCCAGGTAGACCAAATCGTCGTTCATCTCTCCCCCTCACTGGGCGTGGTCCTGGGCCTCGATGACGCAGTCGCGACACACTCCGACATGGGGGTCCTCCAAGCACAGCCACCACCTTCCCACTTCGTGCAAGATGACAAAGGTAGCTCCAAGTGCCAATGGAGTGCATATCATATTGTGCTCCGTTGATGATGTCCACGTTGATGACCTCATAGCCATGCCAGTCCATGTTGAGCCAAGACTGAGAGTCCTTTCCGCTGTAGAGGTGCAAGATGATCCCCTTCGACCTCTCATGCCTCCTCCTCTGGTGTCGATTCCACGGGCAAACCTGGGGGTCAAATGATGTCTGCCCCTTCATATAGTTCCAAGTTTCTTCAGGAACTTCAGGAAACATCTTGGTCCACCAGGACTTGATCTCCTCATCAATCATGAGCTCCCCCCGATCAGCCTTCTCTATCACCTCCAGCAATGCGAGGGCCTGACGTTCAGGTAGGACTGGACATCCTCCTCTCAGAGTGCATTCGATCCGGCCATACTCGGGATGAGAGATCTTGACACCTCCCTTCGACCAATTCAGCCGATATCCCAATCCCACCAGTCGATGCAGCGGAACAATCACCTCCACCTTCTCCTTCGACAACAGAGTTCGATGCTCGTTGACTTTGTACAAGGTGGCTGATCCTGAAGCCAATTCTACTCGAACGGGAACCAGGTGTGGCATCTCGTGTGGATAGGCTTCTCTGAGCCCATTCGTTGCGCCTCCATCCAGGAGACCCACTGCCTCCTCATCCGTGCCAAACTTGTGTTTGAGCTCTTTCACCCGCAGCATCTTCATGCTCCTCAGCGTCTTGAGCAACGACGTGGCCTCCGACAACAGCTCAGCGGTTGCATCCTTTGCCACAGGCTTTTCCGGGGAGTCAAGTCGCTTGGGAACAGCAGTCACAGGGACATTCACATTCTCGTCAGCTGGTTCATCACCAGGAGAGCCTCCCTTGACATTCTTCTCACCCCCATTCATCTTCTCCCCTTCCTTCATAGTCTTCACCTTGGAGACCTTCTTGGCGTCCGGCTTCACCCCCTTCGGCCCATTTGGACAGTCCTTCTTCATGTGAAGTCCTCCACAATTGAAGCAGCGACCCTTCATGTCCACATTGTCATGGGCGTAGGTTCAACTGTTACCACGTTTACAACCCTCATCACTCTTCCAGAACTTGCAAGCCAACTTCTGCGAAGGTCGATCATCGGAGTCCACCGCCCCGAACGCTGATGCCATAGCCTTCACAGACGTCGTCGGCTGTGTTCCAGCTGCTCCAGCATTGGTGGTCACCGGCTGCGACTTCATGGGCGTAGTCAGCGAAATCTCTTCCACCTCTGCCTGCACATACTCCGAGAGCTCCATAACAGCCTCCACTGTAGCTGCATAATCAACTCTCAATTCTTGCCGTACGTTGGCAATTCGAAATGCCATTTGAGCTCCGCCTGATTTGGTGGCGCTCTCAATCATGCGTTGCACGGTGACCATGAGAACCACAGGGTCAGGTAGAGCAAGGTTGAGCTCTTGTGCACGTGCAAGCCATCGTCGCCACAACCGGACCTGTGTCAACAACTCCGATGTCTGGGTGGCAAACTTCGTTTCCACTAAATTTTTGAGGAGTTGTGTTTTTTCAGCACCTCCTCCCGGCTGGTACGTCACATGCAACTTGTACAGGATGTAGACGACCGAGAGCTGCCGTCCACTGACCAGGTCGCGCCGGAGCTGATCCGGCAATGCTCCCAACAACATTGCAATGCCACGTTGTTCAATCCTCTGTAGGGCAGGTTCCACCACCACCACTGGCTTTGCTCTCAGGCGTTCCAATGGACTCATCGTCAACCAGCGAGCATAGTGGTCCTGCGCAATGGTCAGCGATTCCTCCCACCAGGCCTTTGCACTATTTGAGATGTCAGCCATCAGCGGGAAGCTCATCGTCAACCAATCTCCAAAGAGGATAGATGCCCCCTCGGAGTTGGGTGATGGCAAGGGAGGAAGTTCCAAATTCCTCAGAGCTTCAGCCATTGCCGCCGGAGTTGCCGCACCACCAACACGAACGACCTTCGAACTCAAATCCGGTCCTCGGTCCTTACCACCCAGGTCACCATGATGAAGTCCAGGTGGTCGCTCAGGTCCAGCATAGGTCTCCGAGTCCACCCCTGTCTGAGGCCCACTTGATGCAGTCTTGTAGGAGGTCGTGTCCGCCGGTTCCTTAGCTGCCAAGAGACGTTTGACCTCCCGATCAAAGTTTTCCTCCGCCTCCTTGAGGATGCGGGTTCTCAAAGCTTCCACATCATCACGCACCGGCGATCCCGAGGCCGCTGCCGGCATAGCATTCCCTTCAGCTATAACCCGCGGGACAGGTTCACCACCTGGTACATGAAGGCGTCGAGAATCAGCTCCTCCCGATAGATCTCCACTGAGGCCCGAAGACGCCCTCCTCATCGTATCCTGCAAAGCTGGGCTCCAAAAAGGATTAGGCTCCTGCGGTCGCACCGGGGTTTGAGCTCCCCCGGAACCATATTCCAGTGCACGTGGGTCGACCTGCATCCGGCCATCACCAAACAGCCCTCCATGAGCAGGTTGATCGATGGGAGGTCCAAGAGGTCCTAATAGCCCTTGCCCTTGACGGTGCTGACCTAGTGCGTGTCGCAATACGTGATAAGTTTGTTGAACCGCATCATGAAGTGCCCCCAAACCCCCATGAGGAAGATCATGTCCAGGCTCCACCGATAGCGACCTTGCCGGGTCAACTGGCTTCACAGACTTCAGAGATGAGGGATCCGTTGGCTCTCCCCCAGCAGCTGTCGTCCGGTCTCTGGGTTCTTGTGACGGACTTGGTCGAAGGGCCTTTGGTCGGCCTTGCGGGGTGCTAGCCTCTGCCGTGGATCTTCTCGGACCCGCGTCAGCCGACCTCGTTCTTCGCACCTCCTCCTCGATCAAGGCGTCGAGTCTTCGGTCAGCCACCCCGATCTCCAGGGTGCCTTCTTCTTCTCGTTTGGCTGCTTCTGACCTTCTCCGTCTCAAAGTCGACATCGACATGGCAAACTTGGGCTCATAACCTGCGAGCGGGAAATGAAAAAACCGAAGCGCACGCAAGCGCCTCTTTCTTGAGCCAAACGTTCGAACGACGCGGAATGTTCATCGCGTTTCGTCCTTTCGAAAACATGGGATGTGTAAAGGCAGTCACATGCCCGCAGACTCGTTTGACGGTATAACTGTCTGCCTGGGCCTCGACTATGAGATCGCCTCGTGTCCATCCAAGTTGCCTTGCAGTGCATCAGGAGACAAGCCTTGCAAGGCTTCGAGCGCACCTCCTCCAGGAGCACCTGCGCTTCCTCGTGCCTTTCCACGGGCAACGGGGCAACGGATTCAGCCAAGCTGTGGAGGGATCTCTTTGGAGAGCAAACAAAAGGTGGTGCAGTCCCAGGGTCCTGGCATCTGGGTACGGTGTGGTGGTTCCACCAAATGACTGTGGCTGAATCAAATGCTACATGATTCCTCATTAACACATCTTATGCCCATCTTGACAGGGAAGCCGGAAAGAATGTGATGAGAGGGCCGAAGGACACTAGACATGTCATGGACTCCCTGAGGTCACTTGAGATTGGATTAATCTCTCTTGCAAACCCGCCTTTGTGCAAGGGCAATTGACCGCCTGTCCACACTACAGGACTTTGGACACCCAGTTCAAATCCCAATCCAAGGTTGGGGATCTGAATTCATGGGTATTAGACGGTATTAGTCATCCTCTTCACCAATGCCAGTACAAAGCAGGATTAAAAGGCTACGGCTGGATCATGCTGGATCCAAATACGACCCCCACGAATATATAAGTGGGATTGTTTTAGTCTTTGGGTTCAAGTCCCCCTGATCCATTTGTGTTGTTCTCCCATTTCTTGAGATGATACTGAGTCATAAGACGGACCAAGATCGGACCTTCAAAAACATCCAACTGTTGTATGGATTTAGCCGCTACCTACAATAAGAACTCCCTACAGTGGCTGGCGCTGGAATGATGGTAATGGCCAACAAACCACACCACCTGTCAAACAGTTCACCTGTGCTACAGAGCAGCCCATCGAAACCCAAACGCGCCTGTGACTCCACCAGCACGGGCACAACCGTGCCCACCTGCTGCATAAAGCGTGACCAGTCTGCGCCTCAGTGCTTTGGAACACCCCAGGAAAACCATCAATACTTGGCTAAACAGTTAGCAAAGGAGGTAAGAAAAGAGTTACAGTATGTGAGAAGAGACGCTTTAGATTGGTGAATCCACCAAACTTTGACAAAGCTAGGTGCAATTCATTGTGCTGAAGTCTTTCTGTCGATTGGAGGCCGTCAGCATGGCTTCAAGGGACTACCAAACGCTATGAAATAAGCTCAGTGGGATATGGCATACACATGTCATCACAGGTGCATGTTGTGCTGCTGTTCATATAGGCCCCTGAAGGGTTATAGGCGTTTTACCTATTATAGTTATTATATATATATATACATATGCCATGCAGCAGTTCTTCATACCAGTCCGAAGTCCCTCCAAACTTCTCTTCGATCAACTCTTCCATACCAGATACGTGCGAAAAGCAGGCTGCTGGGCAGTGAAGGCTTGGCAAGCACTCGCTGGAAGGCATTCCGCACGTGCTTCGGGCTGATGAGTTTCAGAGCCGAATCCTCGGTGTCCATTGCTGCCCAACTTGCAGCCCAACTCAGTAAATTGCGATCGGGGGGATGTGGGGAATCCCTGTCAAACCCAAAGCCATGAGTGTCTGGGGAAATGGCAAAGGCTAGAACGGGGATAAACAAACTCAAAGTTTCTATAGGGTCTGAGAGATCACAAAACTTTATTTGACGGTGGCAGAATAAACATCACATGCAAAGAAACATAAAGAAACCACTGATCGATCCGCCCACAGCTAAAACATCCAGATCGAACGTAAGTATACGTGTAAGTACCCGAAGTGTCAGGTTGGTCTTGGGCCCCGTCAATAAGGCGCCCCTTAACATCCTTAACGGCATAAAGGGGCCTGATTCAAGGGACCCAAACAACTTATTGTTCAATCTGTTTTTCCTCTCTGTTGGTGCCAAAACCTCAGGTTGGTGGTTCGTCCAACATATACCCGAGTAATCTTGGGTCGTGACTGTTCCACTTGTGGATTTCGCAAATTCAATGATTTATTTCAGGGGTGGTCAGTTATTCGTAGTGAAGTGTATCGGGGAGCTAAATCCAACGAGGAACACGCAAAACATGCAGCGGAAAATAATTCTTACTTTGAGAGGGTTAAGGAGGTGTACCTCATGTGGGTACCGGTGAGCAAAGCCACAACCAAGTTACCTCTGAACAGGGTCCGGTGTAATCCACTGTTTGAAGGCCTTTCTGTCAAACAGAATAATCATGACCGAGGAGACTCTTGTGTTTCATTTCACTGTCTATTTAATGCAAACATGTAGTTCTTGTCTTTAGTGAGAACTGGTGCCCTCATGGGAGGGCTGCCAATCAGCAAGACATCAAATGTAAACACATTTAAAAAAATTAAAGAAAATAAATACACATGTCCTTTGAACTGTCTGTTGAGTGACTGTTGAGATCATGTTGTGGGGGAATGAATGGGTCATGTTTGCCTGGGCCTGTAGCCATTTCTTTGGCCATTGTGGCTGAGTTGGACCCCAACAGCCTGATCCTTTGCTGTTTGTGCCATGGGTAGCAACAAAGACAAGAAAAACAAGAGAAGAAGGACACCTGCTGGTTGTTGTGTTGTGGCAGTGGCTGTATGTATAGGTCAGATGCACATTAGAGGGGGTTAGATGGTCTTAGGATGAATTAGGAGGATCAGTTGAGACTGTTCACAGACAGAGCAAAGGCATTGGAAAAAAGAGCCTATGCAGAACTGCAGCCATGTGAGGAAATCAGTTTTTATAGGTTCCTATGTGAAATAATTTGTTTCTATGTGGAATAATTTGTTTCAATGTTTTCTAATGTTTCCTGATATTTGTTAATTTTTTGTAATGTTTGGGAATTATTTTCCAATGTTTTCTAATTTTTCTAGAGGTTTGATGAGCATACCTATGATGAGGTACCCTGCTCTCTCAAATGATCTTGCCCCCCGTACTAGTAGCTAGAAGCTACGGTGGAGACCATCGCTATTAGGTTGGAGGCCATCGCTAGTTACTAGTAACAAGAAAGATTTCTGTTCATGTTGGATCTTTTTTTTGTACTCCATTTTTGGTCACACACGCCCGAGGTGCAGAGGCGCCGTGAGCCTCGCCCTTGGCTGCCATGCCCAGCTCGGCCACGGGGCCCCACCTGAGAACGAGGATGGAGGAGAGGAAAAAGAAAACACAAAGAACAGAACATCACCAGGGTTCTGGGGGTGCCGTGAGCTGAATATGAGTGTTGAAGTAATTTAAAGCATAAGCTTTAGGTAAATGGCACAGATTTCAGGATAACATATTTGGAGAGAAGGCTTATACAACTTCCTGATCTCTAGACTCTAGTCTGAGCTATTGTAGCGTGTTACTCCAGCATTGGTTGGTGGGGTGACACTTGGAGTGTTTGATTTGGAACAAACAAAGTTCTCATTCGCAGGCAAGGTCATCATCTGCTGAATACCCAAACCGGTCAATCACTCAAATGCAATCTTGGGGTAAGAGTGAGGTCACCCAATGGTTTAGTTTGTGATCTTGGTCAAACTCCGTTGCGATCCGATCACCAGAAAAAGCAACATAATAGTAAATTACAGTGACTAATCATGGGAACAAGGCGATGCACCATGATGAACCTGTGTGGTCGATATTGCAATATTTCAGGAACTGGACTAGGTTCCATCCCAACGAAAGCTGCCACACCCTGCACCACTGCGAGACATTCTGGTTGCACCCAACAAGGCGCTGCAGGCTGCTGCAGGGCAGTTGCTCAAATCGACGCCACAAGCTCAGTCCATCCAGGTAGGCGTTGGAGGCCGAGTAGGTGATGCCAGACGACCTCTGTTTCGAGGCATGCAACAGAAGCTCCCCAAACAAAGTGCTATGCTGCAAGGATACAAGAAGCTCCAGGAAAATCGGAAAATCAGGAAAACACTGAGCTTCAAACAATCCAATCAAGGCTGAGACTGACGAGAAAAGTACAAAGGAGTGCATCTCCTCCGCACATGGGGAGTGTGCTTATTCAACAGTTCTGACATGTTCTTACACTCCCTCAACAGGCTTGAGAACTCCTCTAGCTAGCATCTCCAAAAACAGGCCATGGACGAGGAGGGTGAAAAACAGTGGATGACTCCAGTGACTCTGGAAGCCCCAAATAATCCGTCGCTATGCCAACATACTTTTGGATTGTCATCATATTGCTTATCATTGTTTCCGAGAAAAGCATGGCAAGGGAGAGAATGACCATGCATGTCCTGGCACAATGACAACATGCAAGTGACCAACATGAATGTCCTATCGTGTTGGAGAAAACAGCCAGAGAGTATACATGTCATCCATCAATGAAAACCCTCCAAAACCTTGCGTAAATGCAGCCAAGACATGACTAGGAGCTGCAGTAGTACGTCCGGCTGTTGGTGCCCTATGTGCGTCGATCCTTTACCGAAAAAAACCCTCTGACTGTAAGGAACCCTGCTCCTTGGCATCCTGAGCATCCTTAGGCAGAACAGTGCGATGCATGGAAAGTGTTTGGCCATTGCTGTCGACCTGGGATCCACCTGCCAAACTCTATGGTCAATATCTGTAGCCTCCAATCATTCACAAACTGCAAAGATTGGACCTATTGTGGCCGTTGGAGTAGGTAGCCAAGGGAGCCGGGAGAAGATATTAATGAACCCGCGCCAATGAGTGACAACTGAAAATTCCTGGGCCTCAAAGCTGATGCCAATGGTAGAGTGGTAAACCCCTGAAGCCATCCCCAAACCCAAAACTGATGGCTTCACCATGTCCCATCAAATGCTGCTTGTCGATCGATTTGGGGACCTCTTGTCGATTCATGATCAACCCGAGGGCGCAAAGTATGATCTGAATCTTTGACCAAAGGGTCCAGGATCGTAAATGCATGACACAAGCCTGAGATGCAGTAGCACCACTCTGCACTTAGACTTGCCACTGCGCCCGAATACGCGGGAATCGTTTCGTCAAAGCTCGATGCCACTGTGAAGGTTCCAAGCGCCTGAGACCTTCGGCTTGAAGACGGAGTTCATGCCTGGCGAGGCGGGAGGCCAAAGCACTGCAGATTGATCATGGATGATCCTGGGCATGGCTTTTGGTCAAGACATTAATCCTTCTATAGATCACGAGATGTGTTACATACGAGTCATGTCACTGGACGTACTGCAGTAATTCGGACTCAGACAAAGATTGACCTCCCAAATATGAATGCAAGGACTACTCGACCTACAACGACCAAAAACCTTTCCAAAGACTACCTTTGAAGGACATTTTGCCCAAGGTGAAATGGGAGAGGTCGAAATCAGCAATCATTGGCGCTTGGAAAAGCTCCAGCAAAACTGGAGGCGCACCAGAAGGTGGGTGGGACAAGGATCACAAGAGAAACCAAAAGTGGATAGGTCTGCGTTTCCATTCTCCTATATGCAAGGCCAGCGCTTGCTCCGATTGCCCAACTAGTGAGTAATTACAGTGGAAGCCCATGTTTGTTTGTTCTAGAAAACTCGTGGTGGCGCTGACAGAGTATTTCTTGACTCCACGAGGCTATTAAGGCTAGCAAGATCTAGCAAGCTACCTGCTGCTAATATTCCTTGTGCCCTCTTTGTTGACCACTCAAACTGCCAAAGGAGTGACCTTCCACAGTGAGCTTGCCGACTTCGCAAAAGTCAATGATGCCAGCGGCGTGAACCACGTTGCGCAAAGGAACATCCAATGCTTTCGCTTTCCTGGGTAGCTTTTGCAGGCGAGATCGAGAGTGCTTATATATATATATATCTATCTATATATCATCCCTTATAGCAGTTTCTGTGCCCATTTCCTGTAGCCAATCCAAGCATCTTCAACATCTCTTTGGTCTTCACACCATCCGCCACATCACAGGACCACGCGTGCACTGTGACGTCGCCAGACGCGCTGAGGGCATCGAACATCTCCTGCAGCTGGGCATCGCCGGCCGCAACGCGGCCACTGCGGGAGACCAAGATCAAGGTCTTGGCGCCCATTTGCAGGAACTCCTGGCGCAAAGCGTCCGGACCTCCCCCTCCCTCCCTGCTTAATTTTGTAAGGAAGGAAGCTCCTAGCCTCCTAACTACTTAAGCTTCTAGTAACAGTATGGACGCAGGATAGCTCACGCTCACGCTAATCATTTAGTTCCTAGATGTTTAAGGACACTTAATTTGAGACTGGTTTAGATGTTCAAGGTGGGTAAGAAACTCCGAGCCGTGTCGAGGTGTACCCACAAGCCTGGGCAATAGAAAGTCCAAGACCTCCGAAGCCGCCACCTGAAAGGTTCTGAATTGGTTATGTCTATTTCAGTAGCACAGGTTATTGGATGTCAATGCTTGAACACGTTTCACAGCGAACTGGCAAAGAATCTCATGCCTCAAGCATATCCGGCATATCCAAACATCGTGACTTCCTTAAGTTATCTGGTCGACGTTACAATCTTGTTTACAATCCACTGTCCGCTGTAACTGATTCCACTTGAAAAGGATTCCAGTTCTATGGCTGTAGTCCTTGGCACGAGTTGTCCACATAAGCATGTGCTTCAACAAATTGGAACCTGCACCTTTTCACACTCAGGTAGCCCTCAGAAAAAAACAAATCTATCAAAACACTGGTCCCATGTAGGAGTGCAAGCAGCTTCTATGAACAGGTCATGCAGCATGTTCACTCATAGATTAAATTGGAGACATGCCCGAAGCACACAGGCGTATTACACATGCCATGTACGGTGGGAGGTCAATTCCTCTCGTTCGCGTTTGACCTTGACACAAATACACCCAGCTTATGTCAATCTGAACTTGGCAAGCAAGTCTAGCTGTATTTCAGGCAACCCTCTGAACCCTTTGGCCCGAAGGGAGCATCGACCACTAACCCTTGGGGCCAGAAATAGGCTGCACATTCATTCTTCAATATGGAGGGTTGTTGTCATTCATTCCTTCAGACTTTTCAGGAAACATTTCACTGCTGCAAGGAGCTGATCAAGCAACTGCCATCAGGCCTAAGGTTCGGCTGGCGGGCCTACTGCAGGATTGGGCCTTTCCTTCCCCAACTGTTTCTTCTTAAGCGTTGAGAAACCACACATGCTGAGCTTCAGCGAACAACTTTCCATTTCATGGGCCATATCTCAACCCAATGGAAATGAATGCCTAATGCCTAATTCGGATTCAAATGCACAGGAACATGATCTTCTGGTTGAACGACCCGGTGTTCATCCACAGCCGACATAGCAAGCAGCACTATACAGATGTGCATGGTGCATCTCTTCTTTCAGTTTACATCCTCTGACAGCTAAGAGATACAGAACATCCCATTCTAGGGCCCCCTTGGTGCTGGTGCTGGTGATGGGATTCTATGTATTTATACATATATATATATATATGTTGCATGATCTTTTTCCCCACGTGTTGGACGGATCTCCAACCCAAACAGGTCGTTAAAAGCAACAGGTGTCTTTCGGATGGCTCAAATGTTCGCTTCTACATCCCTCAAATGCATCTGCTTCCACTGCAGCCAAGAATCTCCAACCGCTTGCTGCCCGCTGGCACGGGGGTGGTGCGGAGCCGCGGCGCACAGCGCTCACCGTTGATATAGGCGATTTCTGCCTGCTGCGCGGCCACATCCTCGTCGCTGGCCCAGGCAGGGCAAAGTTCCTGAAGAAGACAAAAAGGCGCAAACTGTACAGTGACAGCCTTCAACGGTTCATAAATCTAGTGGCAAGCATCCTCCTAGAGGTGACCTTTTCTCTGTGTGATTGGGCATGACACAATAGAAATGGCTGTCATTCACTCCACTTGAAAAGGGAGTCCTCGGTGGACATTGGCTTGGCGGGAGATTTATATGATGATTTACTTATGCCCCCCTGATCTATTAATGGAGGCTTCCTATTCATTCTGACACAGATTCGCGCAGAATTGGAATGGAGGTTGCCGGGCAAGTCTTGATTGCACCACCAAGAATACTGCAGAGCAAAGAAATTCCTGCCACAAATATACATGGAACAGTGCATTTCTACGGCTCGATGGTGGATATTTTTTCATTGCATTGAGCTTCCCTCCTCACACCACAGACTTCCGGTACCTGCTTTGGTGACGAGCAGAAAAAGATATCCCAAGGTTGAATCCAAATGGTGGAGTGTAGTTGGGATCAACATCCGGGAAAGCTCGCTAGATATCTACATGGCATCTTAAACTCACTTAGTCAGGTTCGTATGGTTTGGGAGTGTACACTGCATACCCCTCATGTGGGCGACCCTTTCAAATCCCTGGTAGTACAGAACATTCATTGAACCCCACTAGCGTGACTGGCATAAGGGCCACCGTTCACCCTGCGGTTCTCATCACACCGAAGAGTCTGTTGGCAAAAGCTCTGCAAGGGATTGGTCAGCAGGGAGGTCCACAATCTTCAGTTGAACATGAGGAACTTCCTGAGCATGCTGCGGCACCAGCTGCGGTTTTGCCCGGAATAGATACAGGCTCTTTTTTGTGTCTCATATCATATTATGCAAGGATTGTATCGCTCTGAGCTGTTTGACTCCTTGTTTTGTGAGCATTGCTATCAATCGTCTTAGCAGGCTTAACATTGCATCTTGTCTGGTCCGTCAAACGAAATTTGAAGACACAAGGTGCTTGAAACGCCTACAAACAAAAATCAAACGGATAAACACAAATAAAAGGGTGCTGTCTATGATCGACGAGGAGAGGAGTCTTGTGTCGGCCATATAGGCATGTGACGGCAAACAGTTTCGCCTACCAACTAGGGTTGCTGCCAGCAAGAAAACTGCCCAAAAGCCACCACTTATGAGATCTCCGCTTGTCAGCCCATTTTGTTGTTTTGCCACAAAAACATACTATACTGTATTGAGGGAGCAATCTTGAATTGACGCTAGAGCAAACTGATACCACCGAGACAATTCATCTCCCACCGAGATGCCAAGCGCACTGACCGCGCGAAGCCCCATACGCCGGCGCCCAGCAAACCACGGCCCACGGCGCCACCAACGGCAGACTGAGCGCCCGAGGTCAGGAGGAGCAGCTTGGTGGAAGACTTCAGGGCCAGGCCTGACGCAATTCATAAACGACTTCGCCAGCGTGGCTAGCTCGGTGGCCGAAAAGCAGTGCAACAACATGCTGCAAAGAGAGTATGTGGTGGTGTGGATACACATTTTAGGGGGTCCTCGTATCGGCATGGTTTCTGGCTCTTTCCTATCGTTTGCTCTTGGTGCTTCATAGGGAGTGTCAAAGGCCAAGTCGAAAAGGTCAGTTCCTATCCTGCACTTGTGCTCGTTGGTCATGCAAATCAGGAATCATGACCAAGTCAAAGCATCGATAGAACCATGGGCAGTGAGCAGGATGCTCTTGGATGAACTTTCAACTCCAAGAGTCAAATTCAGGAGACTTCTACGCAACTAGTAGCAGGTAGCTACTAGTAGCAAAGGGCATCGCTACTAGGAGCAAGGACGCTAGTAGTAGCTCCTGGCCTTACTACTAGAAACAAGGACGCTACTAATAAGGGCGTGACTCCAGGAAAACTTGCATATTCCTCCACCCAGGGATCCCTGGGCCTTGGACCAAGCGAAGCAAGGACGCCAAGGTAGGCCCTCAGTGCGAGGGCGCAATGTCTGTTGAGGATATGGTAACTGGACCCTAGATGAGTGATTTGCCAGATGCAGGTCTTCTGTTGAAGTTGCTGGTAGTGCAACCGCGTTTGTGCAACCGCATTTGACTTCTCAAATGGAGACATGCATGGTAGGCGGCCACTTGGCAGGCTGCCAACAAACCGTGTTGCTTCAACGACCAAACACCCACTGACTGAATTCTCACTATGCATATGTGTATGTATATATATATATGGCCTGACAAAACAAGGGAAACTTGAGTCCAATCACATCACATGCTGAACCTTGCACTCGGAGGCACCTTGCAGCGTGGGGTCCTCGGCTTTCAGCGCCTCTGCGAAAATGAGGCCAGCGTATGGCTTTGCCAAAAGCCTCAGCAAGAAATGATCCCATCAATCACCCTAAAAGGGGACCCAAGCTCTGCTGTGTGGTAGGTACTTCTTCTCCACTTGATTTTCCTCAACAACTCCTACCCGAGCTTCAGGAAAACAACCATTCATGCACTCTTCCTTTGCTCATCATCCCATCCCCTGCCCAGCCAGAACGACAGAAGTTTGCCAAGTTGCTCGTCCACTTTCTCGGTACTTGCCAAGCATTCCATGCCCAACACTGTAGCCTTGGGCAGCACCTTCTCTGCTGCATCTTTCACCAGTGAGCCGCCACCAAGCACCAGCCACTCCTGCAACACATGGACAAATTGATTCAGGTTTGGAGGCAGGCATATATCGTACAGGTGCTTGGTTGATGGGACTTCTCTTGACCTGCTATAGATCCGGTGAATCCACAGGAGATTGCTAGCCAAGGTAACATCTCCATACTAGCAGACCTGTCATGACTCCACTTTGAACACTCGTTGAACAATGTCCGTGTGGGTCCGTGGAGTCCATAGACTCGGAGAGGCCGTTGATGTGTCATTCACTGCACAGCAACCTACTAGCGATGGCCTCCAACCTAGGAGCTAGGATCTACGGCAAAGGGTGCAGTTTGCGTTGGGATCTTGGGAAACTCCAGCCTCGTTGACGGTTGCCGTGCTTGCGGGCAGCGGCTGCCATGAGATGCCCCACCACAACCTCATGAAATTGAACACCAGCAGTCGCAAGATTCATCAAATTTCTACTGGGTTGAAGATCCATAGCAAAAGTTTGACTTACCAACTTGCACAAATGAGAGATTGTCCATTTGAGACCTTACACGTGCAGCCTGCAAAAGGATAGGCATTTGGCAGGTGGACCAACAAAGTGTATGTTTCTTTGGCTGCGCACAACGTAAACCAACCACACATGTTGCTGCACACATGTTGGAAAAATGTGTTCTGTACAGTGAGGTGAAGGGGGATTGAGTCCTAGGAAGGATGTATATACTGTATAATATATATATATAAGCACATACATACATACATACCATACCAAACCATACCATACCATACCATACCATTACATTACATTACATACACTATGTATTTAATATGGGAAGGGCACTGAGAAGGACTGTACTTCCCCGTCTGCGAGGAGAGATAATACTGTAAGTCCGCAGTTGATTGGAGAACAAGAAGTCAACGAGGCCTCAAATATCCACGCTTGACAGGGCAGTCTATCTGGGTTCATTCTGTAGATGGGCAAGTCGTCCTGCATCGCCGACCTGAAGGGCTCCCGAGTACAAATTTGGTCCATCCATCTGGATGTGTCCGATTTTGTCCGATTCGTCCACGGTTTTAGGCGCCTTGGCCATCTTGACCCACAACCATCCGAGAATTCCAAGCAAAAGCTACTCCTCGTTTGTGAAGAATGGATTGGGGAGAGGAGTACACACAAATATAATATACACTGGAAAACACCTGTGCCCCACATGGAAACCCGAAACATAAGGGAATAGTACACCCGTGTAGGACCCTCGGGCCATCTTGATGAGCTCTCAAGCAAAGGTCTTGCTGCTGCGAAAAAAAAGGGCCAAGCATGACACCTGCAAAACAATAGTGATGAGCACATTCCAGCCCAAACAACAAAGTGACAACTGCCAAGACACTGCTTAGCCCAGTCCTTGTAGGACCTGAGGAGCACCCCAAATCCAGGGCTAGTTTGCCAAGAATTTCTCGTCAAAGGTGCCAGTTGTGGTCTGTTACAACCAATCACATCGTGCAAACTCTGAACTCACAGGCCCTTTGTGAACGAGGACTGCAAAGCGGGAGGACGGATAATCAAGAAACAACTTTGCCCTGATGGATGTGAGAAACTCCATCTCTTCCTTGGGCGTGCTCCCCAAAGCAAACCATGATATTGACCCATGGACCTTTTTCTATTTCTCAAGGATTGGAAGGCTGTCCCTGGGAAACACCGCCCACCTGCCATCACGTCAGTGTCTCAAACTAAATTGGTCTATTGAAAACCTAATGCAGTATCCTTCTTAGAACAGAACCAACACGTCCAGGCATGTTCAACAGCAATGGATCCTCCCTTAGATTGAGCCAGATTTATGTGTATATATAGTATATGTAACTATGTATAGTCAGTATATTAACATCTCGAAACATAACTATGTATATTAACTGCAAAAAAAAACAAATATGTTTATATACATATAGTACCGTGCTGTATTTTGGAAGATATTAAGACAATTTATTGAATGGAAGATCCATTTTTCGAGGAAAACCCAGGCAACAGCAAATGGAAGAAATCCCCTGTAGCATACAGTAGGTGTTCAATTTCTTCCACTTGTACTAAAGGCTTGCTCTGCCATTAGAAAAACTGAGAGAAATGGCAGGGAGAGACTGTTTTTTCCACGCGCGCACGTCGCCTGATCTGAAGAGGAGAATAACCTAATACTCTCCGAAGCCTTTATTGGTTGTTGGTTTGTTTTTCCTTGTTTTGCTTCCTGGTCGTATTTCTTCCATTTGGTGTCTAATCTTCACCTCTGATCAGTAAATCCTTTTCCTGTTCCTTGTCTTCCTCTTCCCCGCTTCCTCGTCTTTTTCCTCTTTCTTTTCTTTTTCTTCTTCCCCTTCCTCTTCCTTTTCTTTTTCCCCTTCCTCTTCCTTTTGCTCTTCCTCTTCCTCTTCCTTTGTGTTTTCCTTTTCCCTTCCTCTTCCTTTTCCTCTTCCTCTTCCTTCCTCTCTTCCTTTTCCTTTTCCTCTTCCTTGTCTTCTTCCCCTCCCTCTTCCTTTTCCTTTTCCACTTCCTGTTCTTTTTGCTCTTCCTTTTCCTTTTCCCCTTCCTCTTCTCTTCCTGTTCCTTGTCCTCTCCCTTTTCCTTCTCCTCCTCTTCCCCGCTTCCTCTTCCGTTTTCCTTCTTTCTTCTCTCTCCTTTCCTTTTTTTGACAGGAAAACCACCTGCAACCATTCAAATGGAAGAAATCGGAACATGGATATGGCTCCGGGAATTTCTTCCATTTCATCTGGCCTCGGGCCATTTTCCGACCCCACATCAAATGGAAGATCGGGAACTTGTTGGTGCAGATCATTTCTTCCAAAATACAGCACGGTACTATATATACTATATACACATAACATAATGAATCATAAAACCTGCATGTTGTGAATATTTTTTAGAACGCGTTATGTCTCCTTCCTCTGCCCCTCTTGCTCTCTCCCAGTGCCAGTGGCAAATCGCTGCGGCTCCAGCTCATCACCGGCCGCTCACCCAACTGTTGCAGGGTCGCTTGGAGCTCTTCCGTCGGCGCCTCCTCGCTCATGGCACAAGCGCGAGCAAGCATCCAGCGACGCATGTGGGATCTACTGATACGGGCACCACCGATGAGTGTTTCAAGACACCGTGAACACCGTGGGCTTTCCCCACTCTCTCAGGTGGTTTTCTTCCACCAACACTGGGTGGTACGGTCGCGCTGAGGCCCAATGAGGTGCTATCTTTTTGCCCAGCGATGGGCACTTCACACAGGATGGCTTATACAGGGGGTTGCCACGAACTGTCTTTGGAAATTGTGCCAGCAATTCTGGGAGGAGTATACACGGCATGGGGATGGTATTGATGGCTTGCTAGCTTTGTTGACTGTTGAGACGAAGATCGCAACTTAGCTGTTTTGGTGTGAAGCATCGGGAGCTGTATCCTGTAGCCAGTTTGAAATGTTTGAATCCCCAGGCCAAGGAAAAGGGGAATTGCAGTAACTAGTCTGTTGGCTAAACCCCCAAGACAACGCACTCCAGGCCGCCTGCAGGTTGACATGCGAGTTGGTGCCGCTGAATCCGAAGGAGCTCACACCAGCACAGCGACTTCCGGTCACTGCCCAGTCCATGACTTTGTCCTCCAAAACCCAAGCAACTGCCACATGCGGCAAGTTACAGTAGTCTATCTAGTCACGGACTCCAATAATATACATGAAACAAACATGGCGAATGAAGGACACCTCCCGAATTCAAATAAATAGCAACCCTATAAATAGTGGAAGCGACTACAGGCTACAAGTATAGGTGAACTTCAGCAAATCGACAGCGTTCTGTTCTGAGATAGTCTGCTCTGTCTGGAATCTTCCGGCAATCAAATCCAACTGCACAATCAGATTCATCAACACGAACAAGTTCTGCACCCACCGCCCAATCCTCGTAGTGTTTCATTGTTTCTAAGGTAGTCTGTGTCCGCCCGCCTGCTTGATTTCGGTCTATCTATAATCAAATGAGTTGGTTGGATGGCACCCTGTGATTGATCCACGGCCAAATAAGGAACTGGGCATCCCCATCTTGCAGGGTCAAGACAAGCGAGCATTCTGTGACACCGACTTGCTGATCTGGACCATCAATTGGATACCCAGGGGTCTCGTGGTCTGAGGTATATAGGTCGATGCTGTGAACGTCCAGGATATTCATGAATGTTCTCCCAGGATCTTCCAGGTGACTAATGCCCCTTCAACCTCCGACAGCACACTGCTGTCTCATTCGGCCTAAACAAACTCCCCCCTCCTTCCTTTCCCCACAGGACAACCGCACAACCCCGGTCCGGAATGCAGCAAGCGAAGTTTGACAAGTCGATGTTGGGGTTCAACTTCTTGAGGTGCAAATTGGGCGGAACCATCCTGAGCCACAGGTGTCATGGCAACGGCTACAATAAGCCCCATGGTCCTTGTTTAGCAGCAACAAACTACTGTCTGACTTGCCACTAACCACCACCCGACCGCCACAACCAACAATCCCACCCATGAGAACAGACACTAAACAGGTACCTGGCAGCTACCTACAGTAATAGAATACAATCTAGACTGCTCGGGCATAGGTCATGGTCACTGGCACGGTTCCAAGGTATAGAAGAAGGATGAAGAAGGTGACTGCAACATTGTGTTATTTTCTTGTTCGTTGTTCTTTTTCATCCCGCCCATACTTGATCAAGTAGGCACCTACTTGATTAAGCAAGGCAGTAAGCAACATTCTCCTAGTTTTAGCTTCTAGTAACTGGACGCAGGATAGCTTTCGCTTCTTCAAGGAAGCTCCCCCCGCCTGACGGTGCGGGGGAGCTTCCTTGAAGAAGCGCTCGCACTAATGATTTGGTTCCTAGATATTTTAGGAAAATGTTTTGACGACTTTGATGCAGCTGTATTTTTTGAGGTTTCATTGACAATCAGCTCTCTCAGTGCCGGCAACTGCGCGTGTGGTTCAGGCACGAGGAAATGCTTTAGGTGGCTCGATGTCTTTCAAAGTCAGTCACTTCTACGACAGAAAGGGATCCTGACTTGTGTCAGGCTGGCCAAACAAGCAGCCCGATGACCACATCTGTCTCAAAAATGGAAGGTCTGTCTGCACCCCAGAGATTACAGGACCATCTTGCAGGGGGATGAATCTCACTTTCCAAGTTACTTGGGTGTCTTAGTCTACCTGCTTTTGTGGGTGACATGATCCACACCGAGATGTCACGTCTGCTGCAGATGTCCCGTGCAGCCGAGATCGATGTCTTTTGCTGAACCAGGCCACTTGTGCTCCAGCATTTTGACCTCAGGCCAGGCTCGTAGCATTTACTCCTTCCGCCTCAAAACCCTCAAAACACGACTCCCGTTTGCCAATTCCGTGTAACTGGACCCTTCTCTATGGATCACCGCGCCCCAACCCTTTGACGTCTTCAAAATCTTCCGGGGGAGACCTGGTGGCGTGTGCTCCAAAACCATGTCCTTGGGAGGTACCCTTGGGTCCTGGACACACAAAGTAAAAGACCCAAAACATGGCAAGGCATGAGCTTTCAAGTGAGAGCACCCTCGTTCTCATCTTTGGACAAAGCTGGTTGTGGTTGTGTCAAACTTTGTACAGAATAACAGTAATGGTTTACCTGCAGATCTTCATTCACCACATATATTTAGTTTGTTGTGGTGTGTTTTGTCTTACAGCTAAACCCAACAGATCTGCACTCTTTATACTTAGCAACCCTTCCTCGCAGACCTCACTAAACCTGTAGCCCATTCATCCAAATGTCATAAGGCTATTCACTTCATCTCAATTCTTCGACAATGCCATTCCACGGCTTTCCCACCAATCTGATCACTCACTTGGACTTGAAAACAAATGGTTGGAAACCAGTTTCGCATGACTCCACCCCATGAGCGCTTTGCATAGGACACAGCTACATTTCAATCATTTAATCAAAATAATTTGCACGTTATTGTATTCAGATGTGCGAAACTTCCACAAAAATCTCTGCCAGCACCCCTCTCCACTCTACCACTTCAACACCTTTCTCCTTCCGCAAAACCGCTGTTCCCTGGCCAATCCTTCACCGGGTTGCAAGCTTGGTGATGCCCGCGACGCCGGCGGCACCTTCCAGGTGTGCGATGACCGATTTGGCCGCCGCCAAAATCAGCTGGTCCTGGTCTGCGCGGTCCTAGGCGGAGGAGTTGGGCGGAGACAGTTCCAGCGGGGAGTAGAGTTAGATTGGGAGGGGAGGTGAGATTTGAGTGAAGATTGATATTATGATATGCCAGACACAGTCATTTGCTCTTCACAGTGGCCACCCTTTGAAAGAGACACCAATTTGAGTTTGCGGCGTGCCACCTCATAAATCCACGTCTCTCCCCATGATCACGCCGCGCGGTCGCCGAGGCTCCTTGCCATAGATCTTCTCCTGAGCACCCACCTCAATGGGATCTCCTAGTGCGGTGCCAGTGCCATGGCACTCCACCAAAGATACCTCCAGCGCTGACCTTGGCCACGACACAGAGCTGAGTCTTGCCAGCTTCCCCCAACACAGAGGGGCCGTGATGACCTTTTCAGGAGGGGGAACAAGATAATGCAGCAGTTGGCCGGCACACATTGGACTTTTTGTATCTCAATCTGGCCCGTCCAAAACGAATCGAGTCTAGTCCCTTGAAATGCACAACCAACCCACTCATGCCGTGAGGTAACTGAGGTAACGGGAGGTATCCACATGTTCAAATACATGGGGGGACACGGTGGCTCTGAATTCCTTCGAGCTGCAGCTCTGAATCCCTCAGGGAGTTTTGCAAGGCGCGCTGCTGCGCCGGGCCGCTGGGTGCAGTGATGGTGGCAGAGCGACCGTCCTGATCACCGAGGGTTGCTGACCAAGGGGATTCAGGTGTGCCTGAGCCGCAAGCCTCCATGCTCTATGGGTAGCCAATCAGCTTCCAGATTCCATTTGAGCTGCTATGATGCTCGACTTTAGTTGAAAAACCATGAAAGACCAACTTGTTGCACTCAATCACCTGGAAAGTCACTAGTAATCATGTTGAACAAATCACACTGCCGGTTCACACAGCCATCGCCTGGTTCACGCAGCTGCCTCGTGTCAGCGTCAGCCCACTCTCGCCCTTCGCATTGGCCGCAGCTTTCAATCGGAGAATCACCTGAATGTCCGGAGTACAGTTTGCAATCACCGCTGGAAACTGACTAACATAATATAAAGACTTTCCCTTTTGTCTGTGCACATTCAGGTACAGTAGCAAGTGGTTGACCAACCGTGAATCTCTGTGCCCTTCGTCCACCTGGTTGAATTCGGTTCTAATACCAGTAGCATATCCCGCGTGTTCCAAGCTGGAGTGTGCAAACTTGCTCATCAACGCCGTGCAAGGGGACCTTCAAAATTGTGAAATATCTTGCTTCTTCTGCCTGAAAATGCTCCAGTATCCCTATTGACCCTATTGGTCCAATCCAAACACTGCCAGCTTCAAACCAAAAACATTTAAACAAACAAAAGCAAACCAAAGCATAGCGCGACCTTAAACAAGTCTTATTTTAAACCCTACCTAAAGTTCCATTCCCCGGCACCCCTGATCTCCAAGCGGCCGAGCCGGAGCCCTCCGAGCGCCCAAAGCCATCGGCCGATTGGTCGAAGGTCTTACAGCGGCCATCGCCCGCAAGACCGGTCATCTTGCAGAAACCGACCCACCTGGCCGAGCCCGGCGAAGGGAGCACTCGCCGCAAAGCGATTGCTCATGGGGAGTGGTTGAAGTCATTGCCACCGTTGGCTGCATTAATCAGATCATATCAGGGCCCCAAAGGCACACAACTATATATAGACAACTTCTAACAACCATGCTCAACCAAATCCACAGCCCACACTTGCACCATGGCTGCAGTCGTGTGGCATGTCGGTGCGGAGCTGCAGGTTGGTGCCCGCTACGCAAGCCAACTCTTGACGTCCCAGCCTGACATCTCGGTTTGGATCGGGGCTTGGTCATCAGGTGGTTGCAAGAACTCCTTCTAGGACAAGCTATCACTCCAACAGCTGGAGTGCAGCAAATAGATGGACATGGCCAATTGTGATCAAACACAAAGGACATTGACGTTGGTCATATAAGTCACATATAGTCACATGTTTGGCAGTTCAATATCCACTCCAAGCATACTCCAAACACATTTTTTGCAACCTATATCATTGCAGCAAACACATCTGTGATGCGATGAACATCTGTCTCCGAAGAGTTGGGAGCCAAGTCCACCACCCTCGCCATTCCCACGAGCCTGGACGCCTGTACCGCACAGTCCATCGCCACCAGGGTGGATGAGCAGGCAGTGTCGATGGTGAAGCAGGGGCCTCCCGCATGTGTCTTGGCGCTTTGGAGTACTTGTTGGATGTCCATTGAAGGTTGCTTGAATCCTTGATTGTTCCGCCTTTTGACCTTTGTACCTTTGCTGCAGTGGTAAATGACTTAGCTATACTGGCTATACTCAGCTTGTATTATATATCTGGATCTTCTTGCAAGTATGTAGATCTGTGGGGTTGCTTTAAGTAGTGTTGCCTTGTCCTAGAATGTGTTCAAGCAAGTTACAGTAGACACTTGGGGACTTGGGAGTAGCAAGTGGTCATTAGAAGCTGCCTCATATGCGGCTATGCTCTGAAGCAAAAGGCAGTTACACTCAAAGCTACCAGGCACCAGTCATCACTAGTCTACAGTAGGGTGCTCGATCATCTGCATGACCTCATTGTCAGCTCATCGACTCCTATACCTATACAATGACGGGCACCAGTGACTCTCACCAATTCAACACAAGACTCACCAGCCTCGCAGTCCCAACGCGTGGGAGATGCGTCCAGACATGCCGCTCAGACCAGAGCCGATGTTGGTAAACGGCCCAATGTCCTCGTAGTCCACAGTGATGCCTCGACGAGAAACGGCAGTGAGTTAGACTCATGAGGTCTGTCACTTGAAAATAAGATGCAATAAGGATCAATAGGAAAAGGCATGGAAAGTCAACAGAAATAGACTCATTGTCTTAGTCTCCCTGATTGTGAATCATGCCCCAAGAGTCTTCCAATGTCTTCAGCCTTCTTGAATCATCAAACAAGTGGAGGGCAACTCAGGGCAATCTCCACACTCTGCCTGTGAGAGTGCAGCAACCCATAAAGACACCGCACTCCACATTGGCCAAGGTCTCTTTAGTGAAGCCACTGTTGTAGAAACTCTCCTGCAAGGTCGACATACACGGAGCTGAATCGAATCATGAACATCATCAACCCAGAAAGCCATCCTTCTACCACTGTTTGTCATGCTGTTTTGTTTTTTAATCTTTTACTTTGACGTATTAACTGGATGTTCACCTCAGAAGAAAACATCGTTGCTACCTCCAACGATGTCCGCCAATTGCATGGCTTCGAGTCTCAGTTTTTGGCCCATGGTCCTTGGATACCCTCAACGTAACATGAGACACCTTTCAGTGCAAAAACATTGGCCCATGTTTTGACACATTGATCGAGAGTCCAGGAGACCTGTATGCCTACTTTGACTGGATTTGATCACGTACTGGTAATTATTCTCTACCAATTCCTATCCAAGCATATTGCCATGTCAACCCATGCTGCCACCACCTTAGAAGACAATGCCCCAAACCTCCCCAGTTCCCGCTGGACATAGTCGTCCGAGCATCATAGGCGGTCTCTGTCTGCAGGCGCTGGTGGGTATCCATGGACCGGGCTTCCGGCTCGGCGATGCCGAAGAAGGCCGCGTCGAACTCCTGCCGTGGCGCCACGCTGGTGGCTACCAGTGGAGTGACGTGAGGACCTGGGACTGTTGGTTCGAAGGGAGCTACAAGTATGTGACCTGCCTCAGTCTAATGAGTTTTCAATGGAAGCTGGCATAGTGTAGGATAGAACTGAATTAAGTGAACTGGATGTGAACCTCCGCTACTGCAATCCATGTCTTCTGAAATGATCTGACCAGGGGCGATTCACTCTAGTCTGTCTCGCGGGTTTCAGTTCGAAAACTTGATTCGGGCTTCTTGCCGCCGTCTTCAACTTTCGACCGAACTTCAACATCAAACCAACTCCAACAAACCCATCATCGCATCGTTCAGTCTGAGCTGAATACTCAACTAACACCCAAAATTATATAGATTCGTCTGGTCTCCTCTAGTCCTACTGTCCTACTCCACATCCTAAGATGCTGCCCACCTTACTATTTACAGTGCCTTGGAGGTGGTGCTAAGGCTGTTAAGGCTGTTTTATTCTTTAGAGTAGTGGGAGCAGCTTCCTCCAACCCCTCCCTCTTTGTCCTCCACGCCAGGGATGAAACCACCCTCGCGGACGTAGACCTTCCCAGGCACACCACGATCTTCTTCAAAGAGCTCGTCGACATCGAAGCGTTCGATGGGGATCTCACAGATCGGGTCCTCGGAAAGGAGATGAAGTACTTTGCAGGTCTCAAAGCGTGCGTTCTTCAGTTTCTCAAGTGCGTCGGCACAGGGGAGGCTAAATCTGTGGTCCCAGTTGACCCAGTTGAACAGGGTGTCCCGGTTGACCCAGTTGACCCGGTTGACCCAGTTGACCTCAACTGGGTCAACTGGGTCCAGAGATTTAGCGTGGCCGCCTGGTCAAGTCGACCACTGCGACCACTACCCTGCTACTACTACGCGTCAACTGGGTCAACTGGGTCCGCAGATTTAGCGTGCCCTCCTGGTCAATTCGACCACCACGACTACTACTGCTACTACTACGTGTCAACTGGGTCAAGTGGGTCCATTGGGTCAACTGGGTCAACTGGATCAACTGGGTGATCTGGATCAATTGGGGTCAACCGGGTCAACTGGGGTCAACTGGGTCCACTGCTACTACTAGGTTGTTTTCTGAACTGGATCAAGAAAGATCACCAATCAACCTCAACATGGGATTCCTGGTGTGGAGTGTGGTTTCTAAAGTATGTGTTTGATTATGTTTTCATAACTCATTATTGTTGTTCACGCGTTTGTTTTCTACTGAGGTTCTGATGGAGGCAGTGTCTCAACTGGCTCAGGAAAAGTCTTCAACCAACCTCAGCACGGGACACCTGGCGTTGAGCTTGGTTTCCCATGGTTAGACTATGTATTTCTATGTGTCAATGTTGTTTATGCGGCCATGGTCGACTCGATGGAGGAAGGAGTCCTAACCAAGCTCAACACAAGATGTCTGGTGTTGATCTTGGTTTCTAGCTTTCTTTGAGTAGCTTTGCATAGCCAAGTCGCTTGCTCACAGGTCGTCGATAGATCTAGAGCTATCTCTTGACTCGCAGGAAGAAACGGTCCCCAACTGTTGGCTTCTGAAGTGGATCAAGCTGGATCAACCGAGGTTGTGATGAAGACCGTTGTTGAACTTGAACAAGTAAGGTTCCGAATCAAGCTCTACACGGAATGTCTGATGTTGATATTGGTTTCCATTGATTAGATCATGTCACATGTCTTTATAGCTCCATGTTGCCACAGATGAGGATGGTTGGTGTTGATCTAAAGTACAGGTCACTTACTCAGGTTCCAGGATTTCTATGGATGAGTTGACTTAGTTGTCTGTGGTTTAGTGGATAGCCTGACGATCGAACACGCAGCACCTGATCCCTGGCTTGGACCTGGAAAAGATCCACAAGTCGACCACGGGATCCTCACAGAAGCCGAACTCTGACTCTGACTCTGACCTGGAAAAGAATTTTACAGAAGAAAAACACTTCCAACTCCGCAGCAGTTCGCACGAAAGGTGATAATTGGTGATTGAACCTTCCCCTGTCTGAAAGGTCCAGATCATCGTTACAACTTGAAATTTAGCTCCATGCATGCCATTCGTTGGCCGTTCTTTTGACGGCCGTCTGTCCATGCAGTGGCTACGCCTGCTTCACGTGGGGTGCCCAATAGAAATACAAAACCGATGAACTTGATAAAACAAGGTTTTGTCCAAGCTCAACACGGGAACCCTGGTGTTGAGCTTAATTTCTACTGTTCCGACTGCCTTATTTTACACCTAGCACTAGTAGGGATTCATCTTTGATCGAGCATGCTCAGTATAGAAGTCGTTGCCAGACCTTGAACCCAGTGGACCCAAGTTGACCCATAAGTAGTGGTAGTGGTGATAGTAGTGGTGGTGGACCCAGTTGACCCAGTCGAACTGATGGTTAGTTGACCCGGTTGACCCTATAATCTCTGGACCCAGTTGACCCAGTTGACCCCAGTTGACCCAGTTCACCCCAGTTGACCCCAGTTGACCCAGTAGTAGAAGTAGAAGTAGTAGTAGTAGTGGTGGTGGTAGTAGAAGTAGTAGTAGTAGTAGTAGTAGTAGTAGTCGTGGTGATGGTGGCGGTGGACCCAGTTGACCCGGTGGCCACGCTAAATCTCCGGACCCAGTTGACCCGGTTGACCCAGTTGACCCAGTTGAGGTCAACTGGGTCAACCGGGTCAACTGGGTCTGTATCTGGGAGGCAAAATCCTGCAGTTTTCTAGGTCGTTTCTGGCCAAGCCCCGACAGGGCACTCTGCTGAACAAAACCCTGCAGCACTTCTCAGGATGATCGCTGCCTTACAAGACTTGGTGTCCTCTAAGTGGTGCCAAAACTGGCAGTTTTGCCTTCTTTCTATCAAGGATCTTGTCCACTGAGGAGGAAGCTCCAGAACCTCAGTTCGAGGCACTCTTCTCAGCGCCAGCTGGTAGCTGGTCACCTGGTAGACAAGCTTTCATGCATCAACTAGTAGTTGGAAAATGGAAATTGCATGGAATTGCGAGAAACCTTTCATCCACCGTCCATCCACTGGAGAAGTGCTTGATGCAATGTATGTTCAGTCATATATGGTTTTGGGGATTGATTCTGTCGCTGCCAAAGCAGGGAATCGTCCATCCACCACGGACACTTCCAGTCAATATTTACTGGTTTGAGGCTCTAGTGAGAGGGAAAACTCGGTCGAATCCCTACAAACCAGACCTCCGGCAACACAATCTGTTGCTACTGAGACTTACTCTTGGCCAAATCTCGCAGGCGGATTTACGGTAGCCAGCAGATATCTCCTCTGTTCTGCACAGGAAGCCAGGGAAGCTCTAACACAACTGAACACAACAAAATAGAAATATATAACATCTTGTGGGATAAATGGACACCCCTTCCCGGAACGTGGCCGCTCAAAGCTTTCTCAGGTTTTGACGTTATATACACAGCCCAGGAGCTCTGAGACATCGTTCCTCGGATGCGTGGAAAACATGTTCCTCATAAATACAGTATATGTAGACTTATATTTATAGGATTGGAACATATTGGAATTTCATGGAATTTCCCTAATCATCCACAAAAAGATTCAATCGGCTGAAAACAGCAACAGCAAAAAACGAAAACAAACAGATAAGCACCACAGTCACAGCAATAGCAAAAAGTCTTGATCTCTTCAAACCTGAGTGTCTGTGCGCTCATGCCTGGATAGCGTCCCGCCAGGCCCAGCATGCTCAAGGGCTCCCGAGCAGCGGACAAGTCGCCGCCCAGCACAGCGCCGTCGGCATCATCGTCGGGGGCAAACTGGGAGAGGATGAAGTCTGTGAGGTCCGCCACTGTAGGGTAGTCGAACATGACCTGAGGTGGAGCCTATGGAGATTAGGGAAAGGATGTCTGCTAGGGAAGCTGAAAACTCGCGGAGCTGGTGAAAGCTTGTGAGGATATTATCAATTCAGTGAGGAATGCTGGTGGATGTGTTGGTGTATTCAAACAAGCTGACAAGCCGCTTAACATCACATGGTTAACATCCGAAACCCAGGTCTCAAAGCCCTCACCCATGCGAGATTTGGACAAACAGCATTGAAAGGAGGCTGAGTCAATACCAATCAAACACCAACCACACAGCTCAAAGTTCATCTATATATACGCCTGATAGTGGGGTTTATGAAAACCCAACCCCAAAATTTACGTACCCTTGTGGGTTGTCATCTGAGTCAATTTTTACTGATAAATCGCCCACCGACGTGGCCACGACACCGTAGAGCTCAGTCGGACCCCTTCGAAGGAGGCCTGGCCACGAGTTCGGTGCCACGGATCGCGGGGTGTGTCGTGTGTCTGAACAGGGCCCACTCCAATCAATGAGAAAGCGTGCCTCAGCTTAACAAAGACAATTAAGATATCATTGTCATATCAAATAAAAGCCAAGCAAAGCCACCCTGCTAAAGGAGTTAATACCTTCGGAACCGTCATCGCCGGCAGATCATTCCTCTATTCTTTGTGATGAAGTGCTCCTTGTGGGGAAATGGCCTTTCAAGCGTCACTTTCAAGTGGGTACGTTTTGCAAACAATGGACAACTTTAGTGATAGTGGACTCACCTATTGGCTTGCTAAACCCTCACACCCATCGTTGCTGGAAAAGTCAGGGTCAGTTGGCGTGTGCCAGGACCCTCCAAGAACTGGAGGTCCGCATGGATAGCATTCATCGCATGGACGATGTTCAATTGCAGATTCACTGACTTGCACCATCTGTTTTGGATTGTTTTTTGGCCGAATCGGTGACAAACCTGTTCCCACAGCTTGGGCCCTGTCCAGGTCCGTCCCAGTGACCTGCACGCGGTTGCGGAACTCCACAGCCGCCAAAGAGTCCAATCCCATGTCCATCAAAGGCGAAGAGAAGTCCTCCAAGCTGTCATCGCCTACGGGAGTGTTGTGGTCGAGGCTTAGGGGATCTGACAGGAAATAGGGGCTTGCTTCTTGAGCTCCCCCAGAGGTCCTTGGAATAGTTACTAACTACCTGCAAATGTGCAAAGAGTGTTTCAGGTGCAATTACTAGAAGCAAGATTGCTCCTAGTAGCGATGCCAGGAGCCCCTAGCTTTTTGTTACTAAGTATTGTCGGAGATCCTGGGCTGCGGCGACAATCCCTTTCAGTCTTGCCTCCTGAGGCGAGACCTTCGTGGGTGGGGGGGTTCCCTGCAGGAGCAGACGGGAGCGAAACCAAGTATCCAGTGTCTACACTGACACTGATGGTGTAGTCTATGAATGTGCTTGATAGGTTGCCCCCTCTAAACCTCTTCCTTTAAAAGACATAATAAGTAGTGACCCCTCCAACAACATCGTTTCGTGAAATTGGCCTCTTTGGTCTGAAAATTCGTAACCTCTTCCGTATTCTATCCACCCGTCACTCGCCGCTGCGAATGGCTGCCAGGGGGCCCAATACTTCCTTCAATACGTTCTCAATGCCGATCCTCACCAGATCTCTTGAAGGCGCTGCGCCCTTCGCCACCAAACCGCCCTTCTTTGCATCCTTCGGAGCATACCTGGATGGTGAGAACCACGGGCCGTGAGAACCACGGGCCGTGAGAACACTGGAAAAGCTGGGATGGTTGCCCGGTAGGATGCAACCTGCAATGTGGTCTGTTTTCACTGTTTGCCGTTGCCGAGAGAAATCACTAAAACAGTTTCAAACGAATGAAACAAATAATATCAAAGATAAACAAAATATTCTCATCACACAAAAGTAAAACCCTTTACCAAAGAAACCCATTTGTTTGAACAGACTCCACTCTGAACTTCTTCCTTGCTGTCCAGGAGCTGTTGGAAGTTCTCCAAGAAGCTGGGCAACCTTGGCATCCTGAGGCGCGCAAGGCCAACAAACGCACTCCCCACAAAAGAACCCACTAGCTCTTCACGTTCAACATCTTCCAAGCATCTGTGCCAAGAAGGAGCGCCACTTGATCCGGGCCACGCCCACGTAGGCACCCAGGTGTGAAGTCGCTTGGGCGCCCAAAATGTTGTCCTTGAACAGAATAGAACAGTCCACTCGGGCAGGTGTCAAATTTTGCACCAAATGCAACATCACTCAGACTTGGAGGCTTCATCAGGCCGGCGGGGTGGCAGGGGCTGGGGCACGTCCTCCCCCGTATACGTCAGGGAAATAGGAGTGAGAAGTACATTCGGCCATGAGGTCTCGAAGCTCTTCCAGTTCAAGGATGAGTCAGCAAAAGGATCCCGATCGTCCTTGCATGCTTATCAAAAACTTTCAGCGGATATAAAACTATAGTTGGTTGCAAAGGCAAGATCTATAGACCTCTCTTGCAAGGGGATGAAGGGGATAGTCGAACGTATTACATATTGCTGTCTAAACGACTGGCAAATCTGAGCCACTGGCTGATTCATTTTACAGTGGGCCTCCGTACATTGGCACACATGTTTGCTATCCCTCACCGCAAAGTATGCGCAGAGCCGCCATGGCTTGCAAGCCCTCTTGGAGCGCAATACGCAAGACCACGCTTTCAGAGGTCCCTGCACGCGCGGCCATGCCCACCTTCCAGCATGGCTGTGGCTGTGGCTGCTCCAGCCACGATGTGGATGGTGGAAGTGGAAGGGGTTGGGTAGGGATGGGCAAATAGAGTGTCAGAATAACGTAGTGGGCGGTGAAGGTCCCAAAAAACATATCAATGAGGTCTCAAGTAGCTGGACTACCGCACATGTCAGAACTATTCTGATTTCCTTATGCGTCATCACAAACTGCATTTTCTGCGTTCTGCTAGCTGCTATAAAAGTCGAATTTGTGGATTCCGCAGGGTTTGAAGGGACAGGATCTTGCTGGGTAATCTGGGTGTGGAGAGTATCACAATGCTTAGGCACCACAAATCACCACAGATCTTCGTCTCTCCAATGCAGTCCAATGCAGGCTTTACAAGAAGTTGCTTACTGAGGTTTATTGAACCATTTATTGAAATGATTGCCAGCAATCCGCAGTGGTACCAACTCCCCCAAAACAAGTATCGGCGATCCATGTCGATCCGATCCTTTGGCCTTTTCACTACAAGGCTTCAAGAGGATTCTCCTAGTATTCAATTACCCCAGGAATCCCACTGCATAAGGCACTGATCGGGATCCTCAGTCGGTTTGTGGCTCTAGTTGGTATCTTTGGAACACCGGATTGCCTGGATCCACTACCAGTTGGAGAAATCACAGGTTCTCTTTGACCGTGGCTCTCACCAGCCGAAGCCCGACGACGACGAAAGCCGAGGGCACCTCGGCCCATGGTCCCCACTGCACGGAGACAGCTGGCAGGTCATGTTGCCGGCGATAGGCGGCGAAGGCATCCAGGAAAGCGTTCGCGGCGCAGTAGTTGCCTGAGCCAGGTTGAGGAGGCAAAAACCGCCACTTGATGCCCCATGGCCCATGTCATGTCCATGCGCTACTCCGATGAAGGACTATGCAAGAAAAACATTGCTTTTTGAAATACTTTTTTAATGTACAGAGTTGATTGCTTTGACGATTCTAAGTGTCGATTGGATTTTTCCATAGGCAGTAGGGCAGTAAGACTTACAGTACTAAATTTGAGTCTTCTGTGATCAATCTGGTCTGGCTTCTTACAAACTTCTGGAGCCGCCTACCATGGCTTTTGCAACCAACATCCTTGTCCTCACCGTTCATCACCCCAACAGGAAGCGCTAAAGAACGGGACCCATAGAAACCGATGAAGTTTCTCACTGGTTTCAATCAAAGGCCTCTTGTCATGAATTCACATGTTCCTCAGAATTCTCTCCAAGGTGCCCTGTCCAGCAGTGCCAAGCATGGCTGCCACGGACGAGAAGAGCCTCGGAAGCAATGGTGCAGTGGCTTCGTTCGATTGGAACTCATTGGGCTAATTAAATTTTATAAATATATATATAAATGTATTCGGAAACCAACAGGCAGTAGAAATGGATTTAGTCCTCTGCAAAGAACAAAGGGGGTAGTTTGCATAATTGAGGTCAGACTAGTTGACTAGTTGAAATCTATATATTTGGATACATTTGGTCTATTGAAAACGTGACGTCAATCAACAAAACAGAATCCTTCTGAGGTTGCAAGCTGGGGTGGTTTTAAGCTCCAGGGGAGTGGATCATGGCACCCCAGAAACCCTCCAATCACTGCCCCTTTCGAACACAGACTTGTCTCACAACTTGATTTGGGGGGTACAAAACCCTGCTCTCAGCTCTAATCAGCAAATCATGCAGTGCTGCCGATCCAGCATTGTGAGACAATTGGGCTTGGGATCAAACGCTGTGGCAACCCCTGTGAACGTGTGTGTGTGTGTGTTGTGAAACCGCGAAACGCTCACTGTGGGTGTTCATCCTCTCTAGAAAGGCGTTGCTTGGATTGCACCAGGAGCCTTTAGTCAAGGCTCTTCAAGGCTAATGACGGCTAATGATGTGGCTTGCTCCTGTGGTTGAAGAAGGAACCTTCGCAAAGGTCAATGACAAACCGCAACACGTTTTTGACCCACGGGGGCTTCGGGCTTCGCGGAGCCAGAAAATGGGTCACCTCAGCGAGGCTAATCAAGGCTACCTTCCATCCCATCCAAGCCGCACGAAGTGGCTCAGCTCCAATTTCATCTCTTTGGCCTTTGACAGGGGTTACATGGCCGGTGCTACGGCCGGTTGAAAAGGAACCTCGTTGTTCATGTGTGGGTGGGTAATGCCCTGTCATTAAGAAACTCATTCAGCATGAATTCAAGCCTTCACAATGTATGAAGTGAAGGGATATACAAGTGTATCTGCATATGTTTTGAATGTGTGAAGGGGTTGCGGCTTGTGCAATAACACAACCATTCTCAAGGTAGGATAAGATTTTCTAAAAAAGGGGTCATATTTAAAACTTGCATCGTGCCCTGGTGGAACTTTGTGATAGACCACCACCCACGTAAACCATGTGGTATGTCTGAAACTTTTCAACACGGTGCCCTTTTTGAAACCATCAAAAGAGGAGCATGGCAATACGCAAATCAACCATGTCCTGAGTCCTGAACAACAGCAGTATATTAGTGTAATGATATGTATAATGATGGTCTCTGAATATACTGTAAAACTCCTGAAATATCCAGAAATATGTTTTTAGAATTTTATTGTTGGCGTCTGCAGATCTTTCTCCAAGCGGCATGGTTGTGCAAGTGCAGTGTACCGTCCATCTTTGGCAGCAAAACGTTTTGCCTAGCACGCGTTCGGACATACCAAGTGAAAGAAAACTAATAAACAGATTCCTCCACCCATCCCAAGATACGTACCACTCATCCAGCAATCGCAGTTTGTCGCCCAACTTCTAAATGCATGCGTGGGGTACCATGCTGATTCAGGAAAAATACTTGGATCTTCATCCTCGTGTACAATCCAAGTGCTTGGGGCTAGTATTTGGCCAATGGGCATTGAGGTTCGCCAAGCAGGCATACTATGAAAAGAATCGCCACTAGTCAAGGGGTGAATTCCAGTCCCCACAATTGCTCTTCTGAATCAAAGCTTTACCCGCTTTACCCCGTCAAGAAGTGTGTCAAAGGATCCTCCACTCCAAAGTGGAGGCAGGTGTACGCATCCACCTATTTAAAATTTGATGAGCAGTTCCAAGCTGATATTTCAAGCCCCAATCTTCGCCCAGCCGCAGATGTTCCTGCTGCAAGTCAGCCATCAGGTGATCGTCCAAGATCCCTGCTGCGTGCCACAGTCCCTTCAGCTTGCCCAGCTTGTTGGCCTTCAAATAGGGTGGACTGGTACCTTGAGGCCTCATAAGCTTTCTTCACCATCCAAACACTCGCTTTCGATGGGTTGAACATCGGTTCTTCAGACTTTTGGTTGAGGGGAGGTGCAAGTGTTTCCTTTTGCAAAAAGCTTCAAGAAAGTCCTTTTGCTGGATCACAAGACAACAAACATTTCACCACTCATCAATTCTCTCCCCACAAATCACTCCACGCAGCACACCATTGTCGAGCACTCCGGATGTTCTCCCCCACCTGCTGCATGACCGTCTTCACATCCTCCTTCTTGGCAATATCGCCCTTCAAGACATGGACATCGGCCAGCTTTTGGACCTGCAGGTGCAGACGGCAGCAAATCGAGGGTCTTCCATCCAGTAGGCTGTCTGGTGACTCTGGTGACATTAATTCAGCAGGTCTTTGGTATGTTTCTAAAGGAGGAAGGGGCTGCCAGTTCTTATCATTCACTTGACAGGTCTCTGCCTCTGCTTACAATCGTGTACTACTTTCACTTTAGTATGGGACAAATTCAATACAGTAATAGCTGCAGGTTCTCTTTCCAGACCCTCCGCCCGCAGATGTTGCCTTCTCGAACAGGCCGAGCAAACTCTCATCGGTAACGCGCCCGGAACGGGACATGAGCGCCAAGTGCCTCACGAATCCATTCGGCACCGAAGCTCCCAGGCTCCCAGGTTCAGGGCAACGGACCGGACAAGGTCTTGGGCCAATTGACTTGTCCCCCCTATCCAACGTGTCCAACCCCAGTAGGACCGAGTAGGACTATTTTAACAAAACAACTCATCCACATCCATGTTGAAATTGGATGCCATCTACTATAGACTATAGATGGTATTTTGTGATCCTCCTCTTGGAGGCTTCACTGGAACAACGGCCATCCACAGACACCACAAAAGGTGGCGAAGAAAAAGGTCAGCATCCAGACCTACCAAGCCATCCAGAGCCCAGAAAGGATTCCATCCGTTGAGCGCAAACATAAATTAGGAAATGATCAGCAGGGGACAAATGAATGAACTCTTTTCAAGTGTGTATATATATATATATTAGTTATATCTGTATTGAGTTTCTTGTCAGTTTCTATCTGTCGGAGGGACGTGCATCCGTACCTCCAAGACTCACAGATTGGCTCGCAGATGTAGCATCCTTGATTTTTGCACCTATCAGTTCACAACAAAGAAACATCTTGCCTACATCTTGTTGGGAAGTAACAAGCCAGCCACCTATTCAGATCCTTTCGGTGTCTTTGGTTCTGTCACAATGAAACAACGTTGTCCTATCAACCAACCCCAAAAGCACCGCTTTAGCAGAAATGCACCACCAAGTTTACACAAAAAAAAGACGCAGGTGTGCCATCAATAGTGGGGTTTTACACACCAACCTCACCCATCCTCCCATCCGCCCTCGCCTGGCACCCTTCTCAGCGAGCCAAGCGCCAAAGACCAGGCCCAAGGCACCGGTGCCGCCGCTCAAAAGGTGGCAGCCCTGCGACTGGGAGAAGCTCAGTGTCTCGGAAGTGTTGGAAGCGCAACGCCGATCCAGAACTAGGTGAACTTGCGGAAATAAGATCGGGTATTGGACAGCCAGCGTATATATAAAGAGTATTGTTTGACTGTTCTCTTTCCTCACTACAATTTTTGTCGCATTCAAAGGGCATTAACTCACCAGATATCAAACAATATCGAGAAGCTCACGGCCAAAGGCCACAACGAGCGCGGGAGTCGAAAAAGTTAATTAATTCATGGATCCGTGATGATTTGTGAGTCTCTGTCACCGATTTATCTTCTCATGGGGCGGCTGCATTCATGCTTAAGCCTTAAGCCACCGGCGTCCTGCAAGTCCGATGACCGAGTCAAACTGGGACATGTTCCTTTAAGACTTTGTCAAGGGTTAAGACTCAGGCAAACGGTAAACGGTACAAGGAACCATTATCCACTTCCTTGCCTCGAACGATGCGGGGCTCACTTCAGGCATCGCCGCCGTGGCATCGGCCAAACGTGGCGCAAGGCGTCGGCCCTCACGCACTGCCAGCTCAGGGTCCTGGCGCAGCAGCGGCAGCAGTGCTGGCAATTCCACCTTGCACGGTTCGCGTCCGCCGCACGTGACGGGTCGGCGCGGAATCGCAATGGTCGACTCAGTCGACACACACACGACGCAAGCGGCCCCCGCACTGACCTCCGAGAGCGCCAAGTCCAGGACTTCGACCTTCAGATCTGGCCGCTCAGCGCGCAAGGCGCGTGCCAAACCCCACAAAGGCGCCATGACGGGCAGGCTCGTCAGGTCGTTGGGCAAGACGGAGACAGCAGAGTTGGTGAGGAACCTGCAGCAGCGATTCTTGCCCTGATTAGAACATATTAGAGTTTCAAGGGCACTCTCAGGTGGTTGACCCTTCGTAATGCAGGCCGCTGGGGCTGCGCGTCCAGCATACCGTGTTCAAGTTGCCAGGTGAGAAGCTACTTGGTGCTTGCAGCAAACGAAAAAACTTGGCACCCTGTGCGAATATAGCATTGCAACTAACTAGCATTGCAAGTTCTGCACCCACTCCCAACTGAGTAAGAGGTGAAAACATTTGGAAAACATGTGAATGTGAAAACCACCCATCACAAGTGGTGCAATGAGGATACAGCAAGTCAGCAAGTCACTTTAAAACCTTGCAATCCCTATAGGGGTTGTTGAAGGCCCAAAAGCTTACAGCCCACTGAATGTCCTGTACTAGTAGGTATAGATTTGCTAGAGCGTGCAATTCTTTGACGGAGTCTTCTGCCGGCACCATTTTCATGTCCCCGGTTTGGAAAGGTGCTCTTTTCTTGCACCCCCTGACTGGTCTCCTCTATTCAGGGCTTTGAAGACATTTCCTCTACAGTATCAAGTGAACATCGGAGTTGATACCAACCTCTTAGATTTAGATAATTGGTCCCTCTACATCCCAAACAGGAGGTTCCTAGTTCCTAGTCAATCCTTACCAAAACGATAATTGGTTTCTCTCTGTCTCTGTCGGCCCTATCAAGTAGAATCTTGCATGTGGGAATGTGACCAAGGACACCTGCAAGCAGGCTCCTTACAACCAAGCAGCACCAGCTCAGGCAACTCGGAGGAGGGTGGCATTTTCACCAGTGCCTGACAGGTCAATGAAGGAGAGGCTGGTTGCGCCAGTGCAAAAACAGCACCCAATGGGCACACGGAAAAAACGTTTAAGCATGTTTATTGAATATTGCACAATAAAGGTTTGTAAAGGAGATTGCCCTTTTAGTAATGCTGCGCTTAGGGTCTGTGACATGTTTTGTGGGGAGGGTGGGGTAGGGAGAGGTGGTGTGAACTAGCAGAAATGGCTAGGGAAGGTGCTTCTCAAATTCCAGATGAGACCTGAAATCGATATCTTTTATCTGACAATCAATCCAAAGAATCACAAAGTGAAGTGGAAAAGGAACCGGAGAATCACACTAAATCCCAACTCACTTGCCCAATGAGCCTGAAACAGGCAATTAATCGCCTTTCGAGATCTGCACCAACATCTTCAAAGAGATGTTTTTTATATCGTTAATCCACCTTTTGCAGGCCACTTTGAAGGGTCAGGTTCTCACAGTGTTTGCTCAAGAAAAGAACAACATGAACATTAACATCGGTAAAGAAATAGAAAGCCTCCTTCAAGGGGCCTTATTGAAGGGGGGCTACTTTAGCCACTTTGAGCATCATTGTTCAACCCCTCACCGCTTTGAAGCTCGCTTGTGCCGGCCTTCATGAGGCGGAGCGCATGCGCCAAAGCCTCCAAGGGCTCAGCCTGAGGCGAAGGCTAAGGCACCAAATTTCCAGCAACCTTCAAACATCAAACCCTTGACATTGCTTTACATTTGCTTCACAATAACGCCCTCCACTCCCCTCCCCCCCACTCCAGCCTGTGACAAGCCAACTGCACTGATGACCTGGGCAACGCCCTCCAAACCTCCATCCTCAATGGCTTCCAATGCCTCCTGTGCCGTAATGGGCGGACCAAGCAAGGGAGGTGATGGATCGGAAGCCAAGAATCCCAGAGAAGCCAGCTGAGTCCAAAAATTCTGCCTTCAGAAAGATCCGTAACCCGCCTTCCCTGACCTGACCTGCCTAAACCGCCCTCCACTGCCCTGCCTCGGAGATTCCTGAGACCTCTGCGTTGGGCAGTTCTGCCAAGATTTCGCTCTCCTGGCAATTCGGCTGAACACCATAGCAACTCGAAAAGGCCCTGCGGTAAGATTGGGTGGATTCAGCCCCAGGTACATAAGACTGTATTGCTGGTAAGGGCGGTTTTGTTGGGATTTAGAGGAGTCCCCAGCAAAGTCGCACAATCAAGCAGGTCTCCTCCAGTTCCCTCTTGGGTGCTAAACATCCTTAAGTTTCAGATGTGGAGTAACCCCAGACTCTGCATCCACGACCAGGGACGGAATGCTCGCCACTCATGTCCCACTCCTTCGAATTCTCCGCAGCTAAGACCAAACAGCGACCTGCCACTTCTGCAGCTTCTGCCTCGCCCTTGCCCTTCACTTCGGTCCAAACCACCTGGAGGGCTGCCACATGTCATGTGCACATGTAACTCTAACATCAAAAGAGGATCCACAACGACCTATCCTGCCCGCCGCTGATCCGGGTGGGAGACTTTCTAGGAATTCGAGTGCTTGCAGCGCTCGCAATCTAGTTTATCTGATTCATACCTGTGGCTCCAATAGCTCCTCCCACAACCCCTCCTGAAACCAAGAGTTCTCTGATGGTGTTTTCTTTTGACACCCCACCCAGCCGTCTCATGGCCTCGTAAATCTTCTGATCGTCTTCTGCCATTTGGCTCTCCATGGCCTTCTTGATCTGCTCTGGTGTCACCTGCCGATGACACTGCCGTCCAGGATGAACTATCCCCATGCAGCTAGCTCCTGCTGGGGCTGTTTTGCACCTCTTCAAAACGGGCAACGGAGTAGAAGAAGTTTTGGTGGGTCAACCACGTACACCAGGTCCCACGAGGTCCTAGACCCCTGGTTACCAGCTTTGCACTCATCTCCAACCTCCGTCGGTGCGGTTGTCCACGAGGTCTCCTGCCTTACGGAAAGCCACGTCAGTTCCTTTGAAGAGCACTTCCCCCTCCAGGGTGCTCACCGTGGAATCAAAGACCTGGTGCGAAAATCCATTCGTTAAAGACGGTACGCGCTGTGGCGAAAAAGCGAGCACAAGTTGGACGTGGACTTAGCAATAGTCTCTGTTGAAAAAACATTGTCATGAGAGCATTTTGTGTGAGAACAATGCCATGGTTTGGGACTGTGTGTTGCCGTTCCACCGACTGTATCAATTGTAGGAATCTCCTAAGCATATTTGGAGCCATCATTGAGCCATAGCACGGCTGAAGACAGGGCTGATTCAAGTGTCCTTTGAACTTCTGAAGCAGTTTCTGGATTGCAGAAGCTGCATTGACTAATTATATTATACTATATAATTACTGTGATAAGCCAATGAAGATGCTGCTTGGAGCAGTGGGAGCAAAAAGCCTAAGACATTTGCAGCAGGGGTCAACTCGTGCGATGACTTTCACAAACCTGCTCTTGCTCTGAGAAGGTCTTCAGGTCCAGGTGGACGTAGTACTGCCTCGGTGCAGAACGAAAGGTGACACAAACATGGCACTCTCCAAAAGTGTATATGGAGGCTTTCTCTGCAAGATCTGCAAGATTGGACATTTCAATCATACATTCTAGCAGTCTGTCAGCAACCCAGTTCAAAAAGAGGCTTGCGTTAACATGTTTGAGTATCTAGAGTCCTGTCCAACATCAAACAAGTAGTGGCTCCTGGATCTTGGCAAATGACCAGCAAAACAATCTGGACAGCAGCATCTTGTAGTTAATTGACTTTCAACCTCCACCCCAAGGAGGTAGTTGCGGAGGGGCAAACAAAACGCGTGTGTTGTTGCTTGGCCTTTGGTAAAGTGCTGCTCTGGAGGACAACCCCAGGGTTGGTTGTTTCCCACTGGTTGCGCATGAGAGCATGCTGTCTTTTTGGAGTCTCCACTCAGTGTGCCGGTAGATGATGACTCCACATTCTCTTCCCCAGTCATTTCCTTCTTGCACCTGGCTTTGCTTTCAGAACCTGCATCTAGTCAGTGGCCAAGGTTGGTGAATATCACACACGGGGTATCTGATATCGGATTATTTTTCAGCCATAATAAACTGGGAAAGTAGATCAATAATGATCAGTATTACTATATATATATATACATGTGTTTATATATCTAAATGTTTGCGACTCGCAAACACACCCCAGTCTCAAGCCCTTCTCCAGTGCAAATATATATATATAATATGTAATATATATAATATATAGTGTGTATATATATATATGCTTCAGGGCCAAAACGGCCGAGTGAGACCACTCAACCAGAAAAGGAGCGATGGAAAAAATATTTATGTTCTAGCTTTGCAAATCTGTATTTCCTCTTCTGATCCGAGCAGCTCGTCGCGAGAGAAGTTCCGGTGCACGTGTGACTGGCGCGGACGGATTGGGAAGGAAATCTGAATGTGAGCTGAAATGAGCTGAATGTAATGGACCAATGTACACCAATGTTTACTGATGTAAAAACATATATGTCAAACTAACAAAACCCCGTGGTCTTTGGAGGACAAACGGTCTTCTGCAGGTGGACAATTTGATCGAAGGCGGCCTCCGGAGTGAAGCGACATGTCATGACAGCTATCCTCAAGAAGTAGGAGCAAGGACGCTACTAGGGGCTCCTGGCATCGCTACTAGGAGCAAGAAGCTACTAGGGGCTCCTGGCCTTACTACTACCAGCAAGGACGCTAATTACTAGGAACAAAGGGTCCAAATTGATGATTACAACCATCTCCTGCGGAATACCCCCAGCCGGGTGCAACACTCAATCACACCTCATTGCTTGGTCAGCAACATCAACACCTTCCACCAAATCCAGTCCATGCACACTCGTCGACTCTGCCCACCTGCACTCGGCCCATGCCGCTGAAGATCTTCAATGGAGCCTCCCAGCCCACCATGGTGGCACCCAACACGTGAATGGTACCTGGTCGGGCAATTGCGTGGGGCATATGTCGGGAGGGTGAGGTAGGTAGAATTGTTTGAAGTGGAAAGCGCGGAAGCAACTGGGCGAAGCAAGTGAACGATGTCTTCAAGTGTTCAAGTGTAGGATGGAAGGAATTTTCAAAAAAGAATTCGCAAAGGCAGCAGGCAATGTTTGTGGTTTCCTTCGATCGGAACCAGCTCCGTATTATACAAAGCAACCCCCTCTAGACACATGTGCAAGTCTGTCTCTTCTGGAAGAGTGCCGGTTGAGTTGAACATATCAAGGTCCCATAGATTTTTTGCCTTTTCACTAACATACAACATACTTCAATATAATCACCTGGCTGAGCCTTTTGCACTGTCCTCCATAACGTCAAACCCATGGCAATTGGCCGTGGCATCTCTACAATTGTTTGTCTGAAGCTCTGCCAAAGAATGTTGAATAGTTGAATTGGCAAAAAAGGATATTGCAGGCTGCGCTGGCACTCAAGCCTTTTTGTCTGCTCTATTGTTCATATCAAACATGACTGATTATCCTTGTCACTGGTGCATTCTGCGACCAACCATAAACTCCGCAAACAACCCCTCAAACTGAGGCAAATGCTTGGATTTGCGAAAGAATAAGAATAAGTCCCTACATACAAAGGGAAAGGTGTGGCGGCATACAATGGCTCCGCTGACCGCACGTCCGCGTTATTGATTCTCAGGCTCCCCACCATCCAGTGTTGCCGGGTGCATGTAGAAGCCCTGGTTGGGCTGTGACCTGAGCACAAACAGGGCCTTGAAGAACAGTGGCTGGCTCAGTGGATTGTTTAATGTCGATCCAGCATACAAAAGAACTTATAAACACACGTTTTGCAGAAGAAACATTCTCATGAGATAGAAGATTCATGTCGATTCATCATGCAAAATCCTACCCTGGCTTTCTTCCCCAGCGAATCTGATCGCGCTATCCGCCCAAGTCTCGCGTGTCGTGTTGAACGTGGGGTCCTTGGGTCCAGGCTCTGGCGAGTGTTCCAAGAGGCACAAAACATGTCGGTCACCTCCTGAGGAATGATGCAAACAGTGCAGCCGCGGGCAAAGAAAAAATAAACAACCGATCCAAACGACAATTGCTGTTGCTGAGCATAGTTGGACCCCGGGAAAAGAACATCGGAAGACAAAATCAAAATAGATCAAGTATATTTGCAGGGTCGAGCGTTTCACACACAGGCATCAAATATTTATTAGAGTCATAATTCCCTACGACGAGTCGATGAGGTGTCTATGTTTGATGTCTGTCAAGTATTGTCGAACCATATTGGAGAGCAGCATCGGAAGCAATGGGATCTTGCAATGTCCTATCCTATCTCACACGCAAGAATAAAAACAGTGGATATTCTATCCCCGTCAGCCCGTCGGGTATCCCAGGTGGTGCAGGAATATTGATGTTACAAACAGCAGCAGGTTTACCAGAACCTTATCAGTGATCAGTTTTGATCCAAAGCCATCCTGTCCATACAACTTGTGTTTTTGCCGGTGTCACCGGAAAACGAATATTCAAACCATCACACACACACAAACACAGAAACGATATCGACTTGCAAGTCCTTCACCCGAAGGACCTGTGCGCATGCGCTGCATCTGCTTGCACACCTGGCCAAAACAACTCGTCGAGTGAGAGGGAGGTGCCGCCCCTGGAACAACTTACAATGGAATGGTGATCCTTTGCAAATGAACATGAACTTGGATCTCCAAAATCATGTTGGAGTACTCTGAGTGTCGTGATGGAAATTCCATGCTTGTCTTTAAGAGGTTGTATGAGGTTGTATTTGTTGAGTGGTTGAGGTAGGGAGATTAGACTAACACTCGATATCCAACCTTTAGGGAACGCGTCTTGGAGCCAACTCTCAAAATGCCTCTGGAAACCTCCCAACTCTATATCGCCGAGAACTGAACGCCAAATTTAGAGTAAGCCGTAAGCCAACAATTAGCATCAAACCGAATTATTTAACTGAGGACATAAAGTTGGACCAAGTGCATCCCCTGTGAATTCTTGGCATTCCAGTACCCTCTGATCCGCCAAGCTGAGTTCTTCATGTGGACAATCAGCAGTCCCGCAAATTCTAACCTCCCCTCTCAATTTTCTCGTCACTCAGAAGAACTTGTAGTGAAAACCCAAACTTATCAATTACACAATCAACTTCTAACACCTTTTTTTCGTCCCAGTGGCCCACGACACACCAGAGCCGCGGAGCCTGGAAGCGTGGACCCAGCCAAAGGCCTCCCTTGTGGATGGCCGCGTAGACGTCCTCCGTCCCCGTGACCAGCGAATTCAGTGATCACTATTTTCTCCCTCAGCGGGTTTATGGTTTTTGGAACCACAGGTGCCCTGCAACAGCGTGGGATTCAGCACATTTCTGCACACAGCCATGTGGTCTCATGGGTCCGCTAACGCGGAGCATGTGGGTAAACATACGGTGCACATTTCCCCCAGTCGGACACCTGGGAAGATCAAGAATCGCCCAATCCCATTGGGCACGGTTGGGTTCACCCCATCTAGCTTCTGAGGTTATCACATCCTTCTGAGCCCGCAGGAACGCACTTCTTGCATGTCCTTCGGATCCACCTCCTCGGTGCACATCTCTCGCAGCTCCTGTGCAGCTGTTGTAGGGGCAATGAAAAAAAACAAACACACACATGAAGGACAGAACCTACAAAAACTGATGACGTCCAATCAGCAAAACTTACAGAAACTCCACGCGCGGCTCACAAACCCTTTTCAGCAGTCTTTCCCCTTGTTTCGTCTTCCTCCAGATTCAGCTGGGCAGGTTCTGCCAGGCCACGGCCAATGCGGCCCTGCCGCGGACGCCAGTGGGTGGGTTTCACTTCCCCGTGTCTGAACATCAGGAAGTAGCTGCTGCGACATACTGCCACTCATTACCGCTACTTATGCTTACTATGTTAATTACACCAGCATAGACCCCAAACAGCGTCAGCATTTTTGTCGGCGTCAGTGTCAACTCCGAAAGTTGCAATGTTGGCGGAAACTAGTGTAAGTATACTTTTCTAAAGCCTCCAGCTGTTTGGGAACTGCACCTAAACAATGAATGTTTGAAAACACCCGTTCCTGATGCCTGTGTCACATGCGCAAAACTATGGGATACCGGATGTCGTGAGAAGATCCGATGGTGATATCGCATCTCGATCGCTGTGTCACTGTTGCATTCATAGCCACATGAAAACATACCCAGGACAGGCAGACCTGGACAAACAACGAAAGAAGGACACGGGGCTTGCGACCGTGGCACGAGGACAGCGGAGGAGGGCCCACAGGGTTCGAAAACGTGGCCACTAGAATAAGCAGGAGGAAGACACAGGGCTCGCCAGCGCGGCCAAAGGACGAGGACAAGAGGAGGACAGCCTGGACACAGAGCCAGCCACAGAGTTCAGGGGCGCGGCCAAGAGGACAAGGCCTGGACACAGAGCCCAGCCACAGAGGACAAGAGGAGGACAAGGCCTGGACACAGAGCCCAGCCACAGTGTTCAGGGGCGCGGCCAGTGAGTGTGGCCAGCTCTTTTTTTCTAAGATAGAACCCCAACAGTAAACTGTTTGGGGAATAAGTAAAACCGTACACCTTGTCGTGATTGTTGATTGGTGAAGGCTACGGTTTTTGAACTTGTGCATATAACCTTTACTATCAGATCTCCTGATACGGGGTTCTATGGTGCTGCAGGATTTGGGTGCATCAATCTCAGCGGCGTCAGTCCACTGCCATTGGTGACCAAAGGAGTCCCAAGGATGCGAGTGCCGTTCTACTGGTCCAGCTGCTATGTAAATGCATATTGTTTGACCCACACAGCCTTTGGATTTCGGGATGAGAACTCTAACATTCCAAATGCTCCAGTTCACCCTAGCTTAGGTTGGTCATTCACTTTTAGATAACCAGTGACATTTCTGGAACTTCCACCTCACAGTGGGTGATCATCTCGTCATTGCCCTCGCGCAAGCTTCTCATCTCAAACTTGTCGCCCATCCTTACAAGACAGTTGAATACGCAGAATGGGAATCGTTGGATTAATATGGAAAATCTAGATCGGTTAAAAGATACAGAGATAAATCCCCAATAACACACTGGACAAACCCATCCATTTTGACCAGAGAGTCAGAGAGTGCTTCAACCAGAAACGATTGGATTTGGAGTTACAAGAAGATGTTCATAACCCAAAAGTCACAGGTCATGTTAATGTTTTGTGTTTACTCCTACCGTCAAAATGGTTTGCTGAAAAGTAAAGTAGACTCACCAACCATCCTGAAGATTGGTCACCTTGCTGTGAGCTATTGCTATATTATAGCTGGAAGCTACAAGATGAATCTAGAACAATCTAATAAGCAAATGTTCCAAGAAAACCAAACCAACTATTGCCATTTACCCTCTACTGTACCCTCATCAAATGAACAACTTCTTTTGTAGTCTCTCCTGCAACAAAAGCATCCGCCGCCCTGGTGTTGCATCATTTCCACTTCGCAGACGCTTTGAACCCTCTGCGACACAGAAACTAACCTTCGCTCCGCATCAAAAATAACGAAAAACGAAGCGTCTGGCAGAAGCGCAGGAAGACGGTGGTGGCTGTGGGCTCATCAGCGTTCTTTGGGATCACCAGGGGCCAGGTCATCGCCTCGCTTCTGTTACCCATGGTGTGGGGAAGTGAAAGAAGGATAACAACGGAGACTGAAAGAGTGTAGACATTGGGATTTACTTGCATACAACATGATCGTATTGGGAACTTTCATGAACTTTCTCACCTGGGTATAGTCAGAAGGGTCTGGGAGTCATTCCTACAAACCAGGACCAACCAAACCAGGACTCATACAGGGCAATTTGTAGGACTATAGACTATAGTATACTATAGTTATATTATATACATGGGTCACATGGGTCAGCCCCTCGTATTTCTTGGGCACCTGGTCATACCTTGACTCAAAACCTTTACATTGAAGCACCTGCTATACTCCCTGCCCTAAAATGGTTTGCCCATCAAAGGTGGAACCTCAAAGAGCTCTTCATCACGGTTCCGTTCACAGGAAACTCACTGGGTCTCCTGTGTGACTTTTGTCAGTTCACCCCCATAACCACAGAGTCCTATCCCGTCTCATTATTTATTTATCTATATATTTGGTTGGTTCCGGCCTCACCGCACAAACCCGACATGACTGCTAAGTTAAACATAGACTGCAAATCTATGAGTCTTCATGTTCACCCTGCCCAAAGCATCATCACACCACACCAAAGAATATGTTCATCTGCAAGGGGCCAAGTCCTTGAGATATCCTTCTTTTCCAACAATTGTCTTCACAGCCTCCATTGCGTGTTCCACGTAGACCACACCTCAACAAGCGGAGAACCCACTTGCAGATTGTCAAAGCAATATGTGTACACAAAAAATGGTCAACACATGCGCAAATCAAGGGAGCATGATCAACCCAAATCAAACCTTACATGTTGTCCATAAATTGACCACACCAAAAACCTTTAAATGCCTTTGGTGGGCCTCTCAAGCACTTAACGATACTTAACGGATTGAGCCTTTCAATTCCAAGCCATGATTGTGTCACGTCTTAAGGATCTGTAGGCCTTGCAGGGTCAGAAGATTCACCTCACCTTGAGTGTCGGCAGCTCAGCCCGCTATTGAAGGATGTGCGTGTAGTATGCAACAAATCATTTGGCCCTACAAGGCAGGGGTTCTGATCTTCCCCAGCATGACTCAAAATAGATCCTGTGACATCTGCAGGCTCTAGACTCAACTAAGGACAATTACCCTCGTGACTTTGGTAACCGACTCCAGAAAGCCTGGTATCATGGTCATGGTGGCTAGTAGTAACAAGTGCCACGCTAGTAGTAACAAGTGCATCGCTAAACAATAATCAATTATCCTGGTAGCTTCTTGTTACTACTAGTAAGGCACTTGTTACTACTAGCGTGGCACTTGTTCCTAGTAGCTTCTTGTTACTACTAGTAAGGCCAGGAGCCCCTAGTAGCGTCCTTGCTCCTAACGACTGATTTCACCGTCCCATGACATTCCCCAAATTCCGCCCGGTGCCTGGCACCACAATCTCCCCGAAGGCCACATGCTCTGCACAGACCTTGAAAAGATCCTCAGTGTCAGGTGCGGTGACAAGATGTGACAAGTGGCATCCAATGGTCAGTCTCTTATTTACTTCACATGTCCTTGGGAGTTAGGGACTGATCCTAGCACCCACCCAAAACATTCCCAAACCACCAGGTGATGGTGGTGTTGGGGGACCAATGGGAAGAAGGTGGGAGGGACTGGTTGGAGCTGATGGTTAGCGGATGGTTTTCTGTAACTTCCCCAAGATTCAGACTTCCTCTCTTGAGAACATACATTCTTGAGTCTTTCAGGAATGTTGTCCTTGGACCTGCCAAGTAGTGCAGAAGAGGGAGACCGCCTAGCAGCAAAAAATCCTGTAGATGGCCAATTGGTTTGGGGGAATCTCCCCATTTTCTCCGCCAAGTCTCCGATTTGATGGTGCATTCGAAGTGTGTGTCGCGGCCCTCCATGATTTTGCGGCGCAGGCAACGGTAAGCTGTCTCCCGCCAGGGGAAAGAGGCATGCCTTGGGAGAAAAAGGATCTCAAAGCAATTTGCAAAAGAGCAGATTTCTCACAAAAGTTGCTTGATCACCATGCCCCGTTCCCATCCCGGCAATCTAATTATATACCCGAATATGTCCGAATTAACATGCAAACAAGTACAACACATCCACAAATGTATGGTCCTCCATGGCATGGCTTAAGGGCTTTAAGGCTTTGGACATCCAACATTCTTTGACGGTCCAAGTCAAGGTTGGGCTAATTAGGCTGTGGCATGGCTAGGCGGCTAGGCTATTGGCTAGGAGCAAGGATGCTACTAGGGGCTCCTGGCATCGCTACTAGCTTCTTGCTCCAATCGCGACAGCTTCGGCTCCTCCCCTCCATTCCGTGCCTGAAGGCGATGGCCGTCTCAGGGGGCGCCGCAGGCTTGGGCGCTGCTACGAAGGTCAAGTGTGCGTTGGTGCCGCCAAAGCCAAAGGACGAAAGACCTCCGGGTTTCAGGCAATACGGTGCTGGGATCACGTTTACGTGCAGGGTGGTACAAGCGTTGGGGTAGGATGCATGTCCAGCAAGGGCCCCTTTAATCAGGCCGCAGGCCCCAGTTCAACTTAAGCCTTGACCTTCTTCTGTTCCTTCAAGCCTTCTTTTGTCCGTTCACCATGCTGCGTCTGCGATCCGCCTGAGGCCAACGTGCCACTGGGCAGCTCCTGGAGCTCCGTGGGGATCACTGCAGGGAAGTCCTGGTAGAACGATCGGCTTGCGGAGCCAATGGTGCAGAAACGCACGCAAAAGAAACTTTAAATCTATTTGTTTAAATCATATTGAACCACTCAACCTAAGCCTGGTTGTACACTTGAAAGTTAAAAATGAGTGCTGCAGCTGACAAAAAAAGGCTGAGGCTGCTGGTCGAGGAACGTGGTGCAGGTTCAACGTCAACATCAAGTGATCAATGCGATTGCCGGTGCAACGTCTTCAAGAGGCAGGCGGCAAACACAGCAAACACATCAAGCCTAACCAACTAGCCGCCCAGTCCCCACACGCTTCTATTTCTGTGGAAAAAGTGCTAACCTCGCTCGAGGAGCTATCCAACAAATTCTCTATATATACACTCCCTGAAACAATCATGGAAGTGGAACATAGGCCCCTGGAAGACTATTTTCCTCTACAAGTGAGGCCTGCGCAGCTTCCATGATTGTTTGAGGGAGGGTATTATATACTGCTGTAATCTGTTGAACTTTGGACATCCCACAACAGCACCTTCCGCGACCTTTCATACTCAAAAGCACTATTGGATAAAAACGAATCAGGACCAACTAACTGACCAATGATGGCTTAAATCATAACTAACCTGTATGAAATCCTGGTCTGTATATGTCTGTATCCCTTCTTCACCCCTTTGCTCCTCCATGTCGATGTGTGGATTCAAGCTCTGGAAGTGCAGGTTTGGTGGCGCTTGGCGCTTCTCCAACATATGCACGCTCCTGAGCTGACACACACACACACACCTCTTGCCAAAGTGTGTCAAGTTGTGGACCAGTCTAAACAATTTTCCTCCAACATGCTGCTAAAATTCTGGGTCCAAAGTACAGGAGCCATGGATTAGCATGGATTCGCTCCATCTATGCTCCTTCTCAATGGTGCTGTGTATGACCCCCAATAAACCAAAAAGTCATAACAAGTTCATCAACAATTGCAACCGTGAAGATGAAGGCGGTCTGTTTATTTTCAACCTGCAAGTTGTTCCAACAATTGTAAACTCAGGGTCTGTGGGGGTTGCAGGATCCATGCCAGCTCTGAATGTTGGCCAAGCTGCTTCAAGAATCCTGCAATGCCCGCCGAACCCTCGAGGTGTGCAATGTTGGTCTTTGCTGCACCCAAGACCAATGGATCTGTTCGGTTCCTGAGATGAGACTTGAGTGTGGGTCGATTGCGAATTGGTTGGTTGACAATGTAGTCACTTCAATTTATACATCTTTGATCATTTTAAGGCATATTTTTGGCACGTCAGCGGGGTGACATGACTCACACCCAATTCCGGTCAAGCTGAGCTGCACTAAGTCCTCACATCCTCACCTACTGATATCCTGAAGCTCGACGAAGAACACAGTGACACTTTCTTGAACAGGACAGTCCCACCTACCTTCCTACCTACCTACCAAAACCCTCCAACAGGCTGCTTATGACCCTAGTAAGTGTCTGAGCACGTGTTCTCACCAGAAATACCTTAGATCAAGGTATGACTCACTAGTGACTTTCAAACCGTTCTGGGATTCTGCTCTGTGTCGTGGGTCCAACTACAAGGCTTCAATTGTGCACTGAGAGAGAGAGAGACGCACGGCTTCACACCATGAGAGTCCTACTACGTCTGCACTAGCGCAAACATAGCACCATGAAAATAATGGAAACCCTTGCTTGGGCCTGGCAAGTGAGTAATTGCATATCATTACAATAAATTCCCAAGCTCCAAGAAAACCGCACTACTATCTCTGCCACAACCAAGCTAGCTGCTAGCTCAAAGCACAGTCCACTAAAACATACTCTTGTCAAACCCCACGATGTCCTACTGACCCTGGGAAAACATGACCAAAACTGCTGTTCCAATTCCCTCAGTTTTCAGTTTAAGTTTAGACCCAACATGCACGGATTGCTTTGGTTGGGTTGCGGGGACGACCGCCCCTTTTCGGTTGTACCGAGAGACTCGCCCAAAACGCCCTTGAGAGCATCGACCTCAATGGGATCGCCCAAGGCAGTTCCAGTGCCGTGGCATTCGATGAGCCCCACATCCTTGGAGTCCGTGGAAGCTTCCAACAACCTGGGCGTTCCGAAGAGCGATGGCCTCCAACCTAGGAGCAAGGACGCACTAGCGGCTCCTGGCCTTACTACTAGGAGCAAGAAGCTACTCATGGTGTTCGGAACAGTGCAAAGGCAAAGGTGCCGGGACTGGGATAATTGCGGGGGATTGTGGGTGTTAAAGTTGTTAAGTCTCGAGTTGGAATTCGTTCTTGCAGCGATATGGAGGCCGTTGAAGGAGTCTTTAGTCAGTGGTTGTGAGCGAGTTCTGCTCAGCAAGTGCAGAAAGGGTTGGACCCCTGAGAGAGTGGATCGGGAATGTTTGAGATGTGACGTCTTTGGGCTTTAGGACCAAGTCGATGTTGCACACTCTTGGTTCCACTGCAGACATCGGCAAGGAAAGCCTAAAATGCAGGGAAAGATTTGGAAGGACAACTTTTCTGATCTTTTCTGTAGCCAGATCCTACCTGCTTGAGCAGAACCTCCCTGCAAGGTGGCTTGTCATACACAGGATGGAAAATGATGTCAACATCCAAATCTATTCTGAAATGCTTCTAAGTGAGAGCCTATGGTATAATTAGACAGTTCAGGACTCATATGAAATGAAATCCCATGATTCTACTCAGTCTTTCCCTTCGCTGAAAGATTTGATCTGTACCATTCCACATATATTACTTATTACTACATTCCCCATCCCACCTCTTTCCGCCCTTTTCACTGACTCAGCTCAGCCACGCACGGCGGATCACTGCCTGCTGTGAGGGCCCGTTCGGCGCCGTCAGCGACGCCGAGCGGCCATCCTGGTTGGCTGCCGCACCGGCTAGGCTGGCACGAACTGCCACAGCACCAGCATCATCAAGGCTGAGCAAGGCAGCACCCACACCCTCACCACGGGCATAGCCTCGACAGGCCCGGGCATGGATGGAAGTTGATGGTGGGACAACATGGTTCCAACTTCTGTGTTTGAAGAAAAACTGTTGTGTGAAGACTCAGGCTTGGAAGGGTGTGTTGGTTGGTCAGGTAGAGCAAAAGGATCAAAACGGGGACACGCACGCGCACACACACACAAAATCACTCAAACACAAATTGATTTGATTATCCTGGTTGATCCCCTTGGGAACTTCAAATCCAATGGAGAGTGTGGGTGCTTCCCATGTGTGCAGCAATGCACTACCCACAGGAGTCATTGGACCAAACGGAAAAAAATAAGACCCTGTGGATCAAACCACCTTCTCTGGACCCTTCAAATCCCCAGAGCTCACATCGTCAACCTGCATGCATACCCAACAGAAGACAAGTGGCCATTGGCAGAAGCGTCGAAGGTGAAGCACCTGCCATCCTCCGAGAGCATCTTTGCTTTGCTGAAACCTCGTGACGTAACGAAAGTCACCCAAGCACAGCGCCATCATCGAGGTTCCAAGCGGACCGTCGGTAACAACAGCTACTAATTTGCAGCGGTAATTGGCGCTCGATTCCCATAGAAAATGTGCATAACTTTGTCCTTCCGCATGAATTTGTTGCAAGAATGGGCCATACAACCAGCTTGCCTGTTCTTAGGTGTTCTTGTTAAATGCGGATTTGGATGGCACAGTTCATCCTCCAAAGACCCAAAGTCTACATCCCTTGAACGACTCCGGCAGAATATCATGTCACCACTGGTTCTGTCTGTCCGGTCTCCGGAAGACATCCCTTAACGTGGTATCCAGCTCCCAAAGCTCTCACTCCGCAGTGACTCCGCACCCCTCAAAGCTTCTTGTTACTACTAGTAAGGCACTTGTCACTACTAGCGTGGCA